TGGTATGTTCTATATTGTACTATGTTCTATATTGTACTATTGTACTATGTTCTATATTGTACTATTTGGTATGTTCTATATTGTACTATGTTCTATATTGTACTATTGTACTATGTTCTATATTGTACTATTTGTACTCTAATAAAACCTGATAGATGACATGGATGTGGATAAGTCAAAGACAAGGTGCCAATTTCTACTGTTATCACTGATTTCTACATTTCTCTTAAGACACTAGAGAAAACGTATGGAAATATATCATGGTTATAAACATTAAAACATAAATTTGAGCAAGACGAGTTAATTTAATTGGCAATATGAAATTATGAATAAATATTGACTTGAAGCATGATATGAGCTTACAGAACCTATCATCTCACTTATCCTATTATATGGTATGACTATGAATTATGAAATGTCAGCCTGGAGGGGAGATGTTTTGTTAGATACATCAATATTTATAGCAAAGTTATATTGAACCTCATAATATTGCCTGCTAATACCAGAAATGGTATTACTGCAATTTAATAGTATTTTACGTATTTGGTAAAGTGTAAAATATAACATTTTTAATACGACATCAATTCAGTTTAATTAATTAGATTTTTATTGTGATATTCAGTTTGTACCAAAATTAAAAGTATATAAAAAATATCAAGCCATATTGATTGTATTGATTTAATAGAGCTGCTTAATGAGAAATCTCCAAGTTTTCCTTAATGTAATACTGCCACTACAAAAGTACATAACAAGTGCTTACCTCTAAGCCTCCTAGCTTGTAAGTGAAATACACAGCTGGTCTTGGTTTATAAGGCCAACCATTGTAACATGTACAACAAGTGGTTCTAGAACACATGAACTATTAATTCAACTGTACTTATCTTCATAGTATACAGTGTTATGTTAAACAAACACTGCCTATAACCTATCCATTATCACTTTGACACCAGCGCCTATTCTATAAGGCCAACAAGAATTAAACATTGGGTTCAACAACAATAAGGTCACTAACTTTTTACAGGACACGAACATTAGATTTGTTTACAGTACAGAATAAAATTAATTGACTTGAAATATAAGCACAAAAAATGTTTGCTTTCCCAAAAATTGAAATATCTTACAATTGATTTAAGTATGAAGTAATGTATATAATTACTAAGGCATATATGTACATACTAAATCACCTAGATTAAAAAATGAACAATACCAAATTATGAAATCAATGGTTAAAACTATTGAGTGCTTTTTACCTATCAAAATAAAGTATTTACATTGAAGTAGTAACCAAATGACAGACCATCAAATCGAAATAGACTTATTAAAACAAATATGAAACCTAATACATTGTCAAGGCTGTATGGCATGTCAAGTTGAACCGATCAGCTTATAATTGAAACTCTATTATGGTATGTGTCTTAAGAACATAGCTTATGCAAAATATATAAGTGAGAATAAGGTGACATGAGTAAATCATGCTCAAACATGTGTTAATAAACAAATATTTAACAACATAACTGTCAACAACATGGGGGTCAATGGGGAAGTTATGCTCATTTAATAGTTGAAAATCAACGCATATTTTACAGTTAAAAATACCGTAGAGTATAATACTTAAATAAATCTGAGCTATTCCATGTATATGTATATTATAAATACTATACCTTATGTATATTATAAATACTATACCTTATGTATATTATAAATACTATACCTTTTCTAGACAAGGCAGTACATTATTAATAAAAAAAAATCATTAAACTCAATCTTCAAGCAGATCCATGTTTCAGCTTATTTGACTGACAAGGACATTGTTAGACCAGATTAATCAAAATTGATTGATGACATATTCAAAAGGCCATTAATAACAGTTTATCAGGTCAATGTGGTTTATATCAAAATGAATATCCAATTATTACCACCTTGCCGGGCCAGTTCTAGGGGTTTTAGTGCTAGTTTAGAAGGCATTCATTTTACTATATCGACCTGAGAAATGTGTGACGTCATAGTGGTGGTCCATATGGACCGGTCTAGAATATATTCTGGACCGGCAATTTTTCCCCGGGAAATTAGATATTGTTCAGTGCATAAGATTTTCTTGCTATTTCAGCCCTGGTCGTTAACGGTGGTAATAATACTAATAACTAATTTCCGCGAGCAATATAGTGAAATGATATTATTGTACTATTAAAAGACTGGATTTCTATATGGACTCGATGTCCGTGTCTCTCAGTTTGTCAATTGGAAAAATGAATATCTAAGAATGATCAGGATGATGTAGAAACATACACAGTAATGTATCACACCTTCATGTCATAGTCTGAATTACAGAAGTATAATAGAGATCATGTTATGATACAAGGCATTAACATGCAAAATGCCACCACCTGCCATGTGTTTTAGATGCCAAATGCCCAATATCTACCGCTGAATGCCAAACACCAAACACCAACCACCAAACAACATCCACAAAAAGTTGGAGACTTTAATATGTCACCGCTTCTGGTGCTAACATAATAATCATATATTGTATATCACTTCTACATTATATACAAATAGTCTAATACTCATATAGTAACAAGGAGAGAAACAAAAATATCAGGTGTATCAGCCCCATTCTTAACATGGTGCAAAATATTAATATTCCAAAGTATTTATTTATGATTTGATTTAAGTGATTTGTATATACAAACAGGGCATTAACATGCAAAATGTCACCACCTGCCATTTGTTACAAATGTCATGTCATATGTTACAAACATCAACTGCCGACTACGAATAAAAACCTCCGTCTACAAAAAAGATGGGAGACTAACAATATGTCACCACTTGTGGTAGAGACATAATAAAACTAATAATTTGATAAAAACTAAATAGTAAGTGACTTCACAAATGTACCCTCCATATACTCAGGTTTCTAACCATAAACTTGAAAAATAGGCATAAATATTCTTATTACCCAAATATTTCTTCACGAAAAGAGAGTTTTTCTACATAAAACATTCACCAACTCTTTGCTCTTGCACATGTATTTTATGTGAACATACTTGACCAATTGACATATTGCCTGTGTAGTAATTGTGAGTCATAATGATATATGAGTTGATGGCTGAGTCACAGCCCTGCCCCAGGCTTACATCAACTCCATGGTAATCTATTATTATTTAAAGGCAGCATCAGGTAGGTGTCAATACAAAAGAGGGTGCGTCTTTCCCAGCATTCCACCATATGATGGTCTCAATACAAGAGTGGGCGTATCTATCCCAGAATTATTAATGTGTCTCTAATTTAGTATTCTTGCCTAGGGGCTTCTGAGTTGTGATTGATATTTATCTTTCCAATAGAGGAATACATTGCAGAAAAGCAATTACTGAATGACATTGTTAGACATTATTTCATCTACAACAAATTACTTAATAAATGTGCATATTAAATATTCTTAACAGAGATGACCACCTCTATGTTTGCTTCATCACATTACTTATATAGACTGCTGTCTTGTGTTAAATAGTTAGTTAAAGAAATACCCCAAAATCCATTGCATACCTGGTGTTATACACATGTAGAATGGTGGATACTTCAATGATATGTGTATATATGTGATACCATCTAGCATGGCTTCATTTCAATAAAAACAATGAAGTATTTAAATCCATACAAGTAAAGGTTCTCATTAAGGAGGTATGTATTGCATTAAATATGAACAAGATGGATTATTCATGGTGAGACGTAGGTATTCATCATTCACCATTCTTTTTTCAATTCATTTATCAAACTATAATATAACCCAATCATTGAGTATTAGACACAAATAAAGAGGCGCATCAATAATATATTTGCAACTGCTTCTAAGAATAAACAGATTTTATCAAAATTTGGAAATTATGAAAAACTGAGTTTGGGTATTACACCCTTGGTATACGCAGCTAACGAAAATTGACCGGTACGGGTCAAAAGCTGGACCGGTACGGGTTAACGGTTTTATTTGAATTTAAAACAGCCATAACTTGCTCAATATTGACTTCCTCGTGTCTTATTTGAAATATATGATGCCTCCCGATGCTTTTAAGTACCCCAATTTTTTACAGATTTTTAAACGGACCAAAACTCTCTAAATGCGCATTTATGCTCTTTTCTCTCGAGAACGACTGTCTCATTTTCACGATAACTTTTATTTAGTACTTCTAACATATAAGATCTATTTTTCCCCATCAAGGTATGATGTAAATGACATGCTATTTACATCTTGTGAGTTTCAATGACGCGCGTTTGATTTTATAAAAAATGCCAAACTTTGTGACAAAGAATTTCATCCTGCTTGCAGCGAGAAGACGGACCGGTTCAGGGCAATAGAATGATATATGAAATGAAGACCTAACTATCGGTATGTCATCATATATATATGAGGAATTATAACATTGAAAGAAGGAGAGCACACTACCAATTCCAATTTATTTTATTTTCCTCTTATACCAGTTGCAATTGAAACAACACAGTCCTGCCTGCTCAGATATTTGTTTTCAAAAGTATCCTAAAATATTTCAATTTTATGATTGAATTTCTGCCAATATAAATTAATAAAGCTACTCATCAACACATTGTTAAGAAGATGTATATACTGTTCATATCTTAACTTTGACCATATAAGTATTGAGTAATTGAGAGAAGAATCTTGAGTAGCAATAATCAATTAATGCATTCTCTATAAATGGGCAAAAAGGCAGAGTTCATGTACTGGTATATGGGCAGAGAGGTTACAAGATACTTCGAGGAAAGGCGAGTGAATTTTGGCTTTACACGGTGGTAAATATTGCACATTGAAGAGTAAAAGGGCCACCATTTAATTTACCCAGCATACCCATAAGTCTCTTCGTACTGCTCTTGCATCTGTAAAAATTTCAGGTTGGACAAATAAGCTGTTTCCTGGAATTTTGATGACAAGTTTTCGGTGACCAGGAAGATGACAATATAATATAGAAAAAGCCATAAAAAGTTTCACAAACCTGTCTGGGCAGCAGGTGGTTGGAAGGCAGATTTAACACTGTCTGTTGTAACTGTGCTATCAGGTTTCTTCAAGGGGGAGTGCGCAGGGGGAGTGAAGCCAGGCTTCTGCTCCCTGCTTGTGGCTCCTGTATTCTCTGCACTGGCCTCATTTAGTGCCTCACCACTTGTCCTCACTGGCGCTGCAAATAGCAGGTTGTCAATAATTACAATATGGTGGGTAAGCCCAGGGATACAGTTCTATATATTGGATGGTTTTAATACAATAAATGGTTGTTTCACATATTTCTCTTGATGAACAATTGGGGAAGGGGGAAAGAATCATAATTATCACACAATTCCAAAGTATGATATCTATGATATCATATGATGGGTTTAAATCGGTGATCCTTGAAAAATTCATTATTAAACTCTTAATATTTATACTGTATTATTACTTTGGTTTGGTGGGTAGATATGCTATTAAAAGGGTGAATACTTGTTGCCCTCCTGTCTTTCAACAAATATTGAATTGGAGTAAGAGCTTACCTTGAAGGCAATTATGCCTGGATCGTGGAGATATGAAGACACAGTGCAACATAACAGAATTGAGAGTCTGGTCTTGTAGCCCAAGTCTCTGTGTTAGTTCACAGTTGGTCAGCATAACCAGATCAGTATCATCTTCTAGTCTCACTATAATTGCCTGCAAAATACAACAAAATTGAAGTTAACAAAACTACCTATCATTAAAGAAAATGCATGTTGGTTAGTAAAATTGAAGCAAAACATACAAGACTCTGCCTTATTGAGGGCAAAACTCACCGACTGGGTCTTTGCGAGATAAGTGAGTATCTTGTTGAAGCTGTTGTATTTGCTGTGTGTAGACTGCATCTCACAGTAGTTGTAGTACCATATTCCATTACAGCACTCGGCCCGTTTATCAAGGTTAGCTACGTTAGTGAAGTATTTACTGGTCAGACTTGGTAGGGCAATTCTTGTACAGATGTTAAGTCGCTGATGCCTAGAAGCACACTCAAGTTTATCAAAATCAATAAATAATGAACAGCATCTTATTAGGAGGCCCCCCGGCAGGGGCCTCCTATTAATTTTGTAGATATTATTATTATTCTTTATTCTTTATTTATTCTTCCCGGGACCTTTTCTCCTACTTCCAACTACCTTTCAACTAGCTCTTACATAGTCATACTAGGGACCTTGGCTGAACTTGGCGGGAAAGGAATTCTTATCTAGGTCAAGGTCAAAGGTCAAAATCTAGGTCAAATCTAAGTTTTTTTCAAGTTTCTCAAATCCTGACACTACACTTCAATATTTTTGGCTCAATTTTTGCATACAGATAGATATTAGTATTCTATTAGTCTTTGCCTTTTGCCGTCTAGAGAAATTTTGCCTAGATTTTGAGATATTGAAGGTCAAAAAAAGGTCAAAAAAGGTCTTTTTTCAACTTGCTTCAAATTGACCAAATTTTTTTTTAAAACTCATCTTCAAATTGTCAGGATTCCAAATCTGACCTTACTTTTGACCTTTGACCTTTGGTTGACCTTCAGTGACCTCCGAAAGGTCAAAAAGTTGATTTTTCAAATCGATTTTCTGGATTCAAATTTAGGTATATTTATTCACAAAATACCTTCTGAGGTCTAAAAAAGTAAAATTTGCAAGGTCAAAGGTCAAGGTCATCAAACGAAATCACAAACTGTGTTTTCTAAGTTTCTCAAAATTGGAGACTACAAATCAATTTTTTTTACTGAAAGTCAGAATATATATTCCTCTTAAGGTTCTTCACATATTGGCAATTGACTATTTATTAAAATTTTGCTCCAGTTTTGAGATATTAGAACTCAAAAACTGAAAAAAGGTCAAATTTCGAAATTTTTCAAGGTCAAATTTCAACTTGCTCTAAATTGACCAAACTTTTTTTTAAAAAGCATCTACAAGATCTCAGGAACTCAAATCTGACCTTAGTTTTGACCTATGACCTTTAGTTGACCTTCAGTGACCTTCGAAAGGTCAAAAAAGTTGATTTTTAAAATCGATTTTCTGGATTCAAATTTAGGTGCATTTAATCACAAAAGACCTTAAGAGGTCCAAAAAAGTAAAAATTTTAAGGTCAAAGGTCAAGGTCATTAAATTAAATCCCAAAGTGTGTTTTCTAAGTTTCTCAAAGTTTGTGACTACAAATCAATATTTTTTAATGAAAGTCAGGATATATATTCCTCTAAAGGTTCTAAACATATTAGCTATTGATTATCTATTAAGATCTTGCACCAGTTTTGAGATATTAGAGCTCAAAAACTGAAAAAGGTCAAATTTCGAAATTTTTCAAGGTCAAATTTCAACTTGATCTAAATTGACCAAACTTTTTTGAAAAAATCATCTACAAGTTCTCAGGATTCCAAATCTGACCTTACTTTTGACCTTTGACCTTTGGTTGACCTTCAGTGACCTCCAAAGTGTAAAAAAAGTAGATTTTTTAAATCGATTTTCTGGGTTTAAATTTAGGTATATTTATTCAAAAAAGACCTACTGAGGCCTAAAAAAGTAAAATTTGCAAGGTCAAAGGTCAAGGTCATCAAGCTTAATCACAAACTGTGTTTTCTAAGTTTCTCATAATTGGTGACTACAAATCAATATTTTTTGATGAAAGTCAGAATATAGATTCCTCTCAAGGTTATACACATGTTAGTTATTGATTATCTATTCAAATTTTGCACCAGTTTTGAGATATTAGAGCTCAAAAACTTAAAAAAGTCAAATTTCGAAATTTCTAAGGTCAAATTTCAACTTGCTCTAAATTGACCAAACTTTTTTTTAAAAACCATCTACAAATTATCAGGAGTTCAAATCTGACTTTAGTTTTGACCTTTGGTTGACCTTGGAAGAAACCATGTAACCAACTTCATAACTTACTTAGTAATATACTTAAAGTTACTAACTTAGTAACTTACGTAGTCAATAACTACTTAGTAACAAGCTGACTTAGAAACTGACGTAATAACCATCTTTTGACCATTGGTTGACCATATAAGGCCAAAACACCTACGGGCCTCCGTAAGATTGCTTGCAATCTTGATCTCTAGTTATCAAATAACTACATAAAGAGGAAACGTTTAATAAAACGTCCACCCTTTGGCCATTGTTTATCTATATTTTTGTACTGCCATCTATTAAAGCTAGAACATATTTTAAAAAAATATGAAATTGAGCATATTTCAAAGAATTTTGCAAGTAAATCAGCAACATATTTTGAACTGACTTTGGTGCTAGTTAGGATCCAAATAATTCAAAGACTAAATTCATAAAATTAAATGCAAACAACTTACATTCTAGCAGGTTTGAACATTAGGCCATATGATATAAGATTGGCTTGAGCTATCAAAGTGTTTCCTAGACATAGATCACCCGTCCAAACCACACAGCCAGCCTTGTCATCATTGTTGCAGTCCATCAGTGTCCTAAAGAAACTTGGCAACTGAGGCGTGACTTCCACCTGGATTTGGCTGGTGTCTTGGGGATGGCTGCCACTGATGGGGTGGGTCTGTGGTTGGACTGCATGGACTGGGGGATTGCTGTGTGCTGGTATGCTGCAAATAATTTTAAATTATTAGGGTAGGGGATGGCTGCCAATGTTGGGGTGGGTCTGTGGTTGAACTGCATGGACGGGGGATTGCTGTGTGGTGGCATGCTGCAGAAACAATTTTATATTTATTAGGGTAGATCAGAATCAAAAATTAAATTATTAACCAATATGTTTACACATTACATAAAAACAATTATGACCATTAAAAGAGACTAGCAGTAAAATTCTGCCCTCTAAAGATACTGATTTGCTATTGAGTGTTACTGTAGGTCTTCCTTATATTAGAGATCCCAAGCCAAATTCTGAACAAAAGGTAGTTCTTTGTGAAAAGTACCATTAAATGTGTAAAACACAAGTGATGTAATCCAATCACTTCATACTCCATATATGTAATAAACTCTATAACTCCATATATGTAATAATAAACTCTATAACTCCATATATGTAATAAACTCTATAACTCCATATATGTAATAAACTCTATAACTCCATATATGTAATAAACTCTATAACTCCATATATGTAATAAGCTATATAACTCCATATATGTAATAAACTCTATAACTCCATATTTGTAATAAAGTGCATAATTCCATACATGTAATAAAAATATACAGTTTCTTTACCTTGGTTTTGATATTTGCCTTTTAGGAGTTGGTTTAGATGCAGGTTTCTTGGTATTGGTAGCTACTAGAGTGGTCATGGCATATGGACACAATAATGGAGGTTGCTCAGATATCTCAAAGTCCTCATTGTACTCATACATATAGAGCTAAAACAAAACATGGTGTACTTTATTACATTGTACTCATACATATACAGCTAAGATAAAAAGTGTTACATTGTATTACATTGTTCCATATGACCATACATACATTTTACATTGTATCATTAGACTCCATATATAAAAAACATGATGCATTTTAGTAGGAATTGAGCCTGAATATATCTAAGAGGAATGAGAAATCAGAGGGCACATTGTGAAATTGTATATGGGACAATACCTGTGTAGAATGAAAGGCATGTTCCTGTGATAGTGTGGACGTGTCAGTGCTCTTTGCCATATGGCAATCAAAGTTTGGGGTTGGATCCAACACTGCATTGCCGACATCTTCCTTCATCACCTTTGCCTTACCCTGGAGGTAATATAAGAGCATAAAGAGGATATCAAAATAAGTTATAAAACGCTAAATATGGGGACATTATTAATATGTATATTAGTATATGTAGCCACAATTTATTTTATTCTTAAATAAAAGAGAGAGATACATTTATTCAAGAATGACATAAGATTGATTAAATACTTCAAATATGCAAAGAGAAGACACAATTCACAACTCTACGTGTATACATGTTTACGTATATGTTAATCGAAACTTATAAGAGGCTCAAAAATGTTACAGCTTTTTCATTTAAGGTATAAGGCCTCTCAAAACATGAACTAGAAAGATATAAAAATTTTACTAGAATTACCTTTATGACCTGAAACACAATTAAGTAGTTCTCTCCAGGAGGTATTTCTACAGGAGTCAGGATATCTGCATTTCTGCACAGACTCACAGCTGAAAGAACAACATTATAGAAAATGATAGAACTCTTCAAAACCTCATCATACTTTTGTTTAAAACAGAACTGAACTCTGCAATCAACTCAAAGTATAAGTGCCATTGTAATGATAACCTTTCGTACCAACCCCTTACTAAGTGAAATATTTAAATACATACCCATTTCTGGATTTCCTAGCCATGATTTGTCAAGATTCCCCTTCTTTACCCCTGCCTTGCATATCTCCTTAGCCTAGAATAGGATTCAAAATAATCATGTCACATTCAATACATTATTGGTTTTTAAACAAAAGTGAAGGTCACCCACAAGTGATATAAGCATTGCATGGAATACAGTTACTTATACTAATGAAAATGGAATTTGACATCAATGTGCAATGTATATAAAACATTCAATTTCATTCATAAGGTGATATTAATATATGGATAATGGATATTGAAAAGAATGCATCGTATTTGCAAAACCCTATCAAACATGTTACTGTCATTTTTGGCCAAGTACATTATTTGTTGTATTGATATTACTTCTTATTAGCTTAATCATATGAAATTTTCACAGAATGTGCAGCATGGAATGTTTTATTATTCTAGCAAAAAAGATTTAGAATAACAGAAACATCAAATAAGAAATGGTTGCCATAGTAACTTGAAATCAAGGCACCCGGGGCAAATAAAAAAACTAGCTAGAATAGCCCCCATTAACCATGTTTAAATACATAATAAGTTGACAAATAAGCTATCAAACACATTAAATTGTCAAATAATATGTGTTCTTGATCGTTGTGAACTATTATAATGGTCATGTGGATTGTGTGATCTCATAATGGATGATTGTTATGCTTCATTAGAAGTGACTGTTAGACCCCATGACTGTTTTGTCAAATATCCCGAGGAAAAATGATTTTGCCCCTTTAGTTCAATTTTAACATATACAGACCACACACAAAGTGTAATTTTGTTGATATGTAGCAATATATTTGTTTTAGATCATGTTTAGTCTGACCAAAGGATCTTACAAACTTAACATAACATTTTATCAGTATGAATTTTATTTTTCTGAAGATCTCTGCATCCATTGCATTCTCTTACTCAGTCATTTCTGATCATTAGCTTTGAGTCTCAGACTGTGGTATCACATCTAATGAAGCATGAAATCATCCCCTATGACATCACACAATTTACACGATCGATTTATATCATTGTTAAAGCACTTAACAACATATCCAAGTTAACATTTTAACGTGTTTGGTAATTCATGAGAGAGTTTATTATGTATGCAAACATGGTTAATTAAGCTCATTCTCTAAATTATTTTTATTTGCCCCGGGTGCCTTGATTTCCCGTTACTATGGCAACCATTTCTTATTAAATATTTCTGTTGAACTAAATATTTTTTGCTGAATTAATAAGACATTCTATGCTGCACAATCTGTGAAAATTTCATGAGAATATATTGAAAAACAAAGAAATTAGAGAGATATTATGAGAACTTTATGATCAACCCTCGTATATACAACATATATCACTCATGAAGCCATATAATCAATGTTTTGCCAATTTATCATGGCTTCCTTTTGTTTTTGCTTTTGATTGATTCTGACACTACTTAATATTTTGAATAATATTGAATTATTTGTTGATTAGTTAAATACCCATAGATACCATTCTTGAACCAGTTAGAAACAAGAAGGGTTTTCAACCTCAAAATAAGCACCAAATGAATATTTCACCATCAAGCAAAATATTCAAGGATACTATTTCATAAAATTAACAGATCAGCACCTGTAACATACGAGTCAACAGATAGCGTCTAGTATATAGCTCAATAAACAACAGTTACTCATGATGCAAAATAATCATTGGTAACCAAAGTGATCCACTCTTGGCAACAGTGCCTCCTTAATATATCAAAGTAATCCACTCTTGCCAACAGTGCCTCATTAATATATCAAAGTAATCCACTCTTGCCAACAGTGCCTCCTTCATATATCAAAGTAATCCACTCTTGCCAACAGTGCCTCTTTAATACATAAAAGTAATCCACTCTTGCCAACAGTGCCTCCTTCATATATCAAAGTTATCCACTCTTGCCAACAGTGTCTCCTTAATATATCAAAGTAATCCACTCTTGCCAACAGTGCCTCCTTAATATATCAAAGTAATGCACTCTTGCCAACAGTGCCTCCTTCATATATCAAAGTAATCCACTCTTGCCAACAGTGCCTCTTTAATACATAAAAGTAATCCACTCTTGCCAACAGTGCCTCCTTAATATATCAAAGTAATGCACTCTTGCCAACAGTGCCTCCTTAATATATCAAAGTAATCCACTCTTGCCAATAGTGCCTCCTTAATATATCAAAGTAATCCACTCTTGCCAACAGTGCCTCCTTAATATATCAAAGTAATCCACTCTTGCCAACAATGCCTCCTTAATATATCAAAGTAATCCACTCTTGCCAACAGTGCCTCCTTAATATATCAAAGTAATCCACTCTTGCCAACAGTGCCTCCTTAATATATCAAAGTAATCCACTCTTGCCAACAGTGCCTCCTTAATATATCAAAGTAATGCACTCTTGCCAACAGTACCTCCTTAATATATCAAAGTAATCCACTCTTGCCATCAGTGCCTCCTTAATATATAAAAGTAATCCACTCTTGCCAACAGTGCCTCCTTAATATATCAAAGTAATCCACTCTTGCCAACAGTACCTCCTTAATACATCAAAGTAATCCACTCTTGCCAACAGTACCTCCTTAATATATCAAAGTAATCCACTCTTGCCAACAGTGCCTCCTTAATATCAAAGTAATCCACTCTTGCCAACAGTGCCTCCTTAATATATCAAAGTTATCCACTCTTGCCAACAGTGTCTCCTTAATATATCAAAGTAATCCACTCTTGCCAACAGTGTCTCCTTAATATACCAAAGTAATCCACTCTTGCCAACAATGTCTCCTTAATATATCTAACCTTTTCTTCCTTATCTACACAAAGGAAAGCATAGGACTCTGACAAATCTTTGTCTGTATACCCTTCTCCTCGAAGAAACTTCTTTTTAGCCTGCAGCTGAAACAATTTAGGAGTTTAAATAGTTATGTTGCATTACTAATTGGGATAATACAAAGATAGCGCATAATATAATTCCAATGCAATTTAGGCATAATACCAATGTAATTTTGGCATAAAACCAGAACAATATAGGCATAATACCAATGCAATTAAGGCAGAACACCAATGCAATTTAGGCATAATACCAATACAATTTAGGCATTAAACCAGTGCAATTTAGACATAATCTTTTTATTAATCATTTTTATTTCAAGTTCATATATTATAACATTTAATTTCATACAATGAAAATTCAACAAGGTTAATCAATTTAACATTTGTGTTGAACTTCGAAGTAAATATACCATACACTTATATGCAATACAAATTTGTTACAATTATTCGTAACTATTCATATATATGAACAAAAAGGAAAAAGTACAATTAAAGCTGATATTGGAATGCTTTACAAAAAAAGGTGTGCGGTGGTGTAAATTATGGGATGGTGTAATATACATGTTAGTCAATCTTGGTTGCTTTTAGGAATTTTAAAGTTGCTTTCAGCAGAAGTGTATTATCTTCATTACTAAGTTCACTGTTACCATGCAAGAGCATATTTACTTTGCTAACAGAGTTAGCATCTAAGAATTTTTCTAAACAACCAATAATATGGAGATCTATAAGTAGTTGGATTCTATCATTTACAAATTGGGGGCATTTGAGGAAAAAATGAGTAGGGGTTTCATTTTCATGACCACAGTTACAGGCTGGTGAGTCAATGTTTGTAAAGTGATGAGCAAATAATTGACTTTTTAGAAATAGGTCCACTTTTAACCTGTTAAATATAATTTCAGTTTTTCAAGTGATATCAAGTGATGCTGTTATATTTATACATTTTTCATTCCCGAAATGCTTTCTAAGTTTGCCTTTAAAAGTTGATATTCTATTGCAATTTCTTAAATCATTAGGCAGACCATTCCATTCTTCAATCGCAGCAAAATATGTAGTTTTTCTAAATGAAATGCTGATATTTAGAGGCACAATATACTCTCTGACAGCCCTTAGAATTCTATTTGGTTCATGTAAGTATTTATTAAATAATTCAGTGACATATGAAGCTGATAAATTGATTCTACTTTTAAATAGAAATGAGCAAAGATGGCTTCTTCTTCTCTCAGACAAAGTAATCCAATTTAATGTCTTCAAGACCTTATAGGTGCTTGAACCATGCAGAGCACCGGAAATTAGACATAATACCAATGCAATTTAGGCATAATACCAATGCAATTTTGGCATAAAACCAGAACAATATAGGCATAATACCAATGCAATTTAGGCATAATACTAATGCAATTTAGGCATAAACCAGTGCAATTTAGACATAAGCCTAATACCAATACAATTTAAGCATAATACCAATGCAATTTAGGCATAATATCAATGCAATGGCAATTTCACATGATAAACAATGATAAATAACTTACTGTTTTGAAGAGCTCTTCATTATGCACATGAACAGGCCTTGAATATACAAAGTTTTTACTGGAGAGTTTGTTTTTATAACTCTTAGTTATTATTCCCAATAGTTCCTGATGTTCCCTTGACTTTGGTGATACATTTTCAAAGAGTTCTGAAACATAAACAAGTCAAAAATAAGCTCTGCAGCATCATCATCTGGGTATTTGATTTGTCTATTTGCTGATTACTACATGTGTATTGAGGGTGCATTTTCAGTCAGCTAGTGTTAATGAGGGGATTCCCTGTCTTAACTGCCAGCTTGAAAAACTCAACAACATAAAAAAGAATCCTTAACTACTCAGAAATTTATTGAGGCAGTTTAGTGGGTGTGGCACATCGAGAAGACTGAAGATGCTCATGACTCATGATTTTTATGTTTTTATTATGATATTTGAATTTGAGTTACAGTGTAGTCTCAGAAATAATTGAAAGTTGAAACATGAAACAATTCAGGGTGTTTGGGAGAGTGAGATTCTATGGATGGTACCTGTTAGCTAGCCTTGCCCAAGTCAGTCTCTTTTACTAATCTTGATTTCTATTATGACCGCCTTGTACCAAAGAGAAAGCCACGTGCTTTACCGACAGTTTGTTGATGTCTGTAAAATTTGACCAATCAATGACGGCCCTGTATCGTTAGCTCATTATTATGCACGGTCAAAAACAAGTACACTTTTCATTGGGACTTTTCACGAACAAATCTTGCACGAATCTGAGCACTTCATCATGAAAATACAAATATTTTATCAGATAAATATCAGTGAGAGTTTAGTGGGTGCCGGGGTATCCATCGGATAACCAAAGGTGAGAAGATTTCAAACATTGAAACGATCGCTGAACATGTAGGCTGAGATTCAATCACCGATCGACAACAACATGACCCGCTACATTGGACTAGGTCTTCGTGCATTTTCATCGCGAAATCAGTTTTAAATCAACATTGAATCGCATGATTTAATTTATATTAATGACTAATATTACCTTCCAATGTACATTTAATTACATAATATATTGTAACTCTAACGAAACACTCGATCAGATCATTGAATTTCAAGTCGTAGATGGGAAGTTTGTTCCGTTATGCAGCTCAACCTGATAACGTTTTGATTGGTCATTCAGCCTGAAGTCACACGTCGTGTCCACGCGATATCTGTCAATCAATAAGGTTTCGCGATACCCCTGATAACGTAGGTATTATGGAAATCTTGAAACCGTTGAATATTTCAGCATAATAACAGCGGAGATGTATTGGATTGTACAAGGCTGTAATAATTCAAGATCAGATAAGTAAAAAAATACCGACTTGGGCAAGGCTACCTGTTAGCAAGGGAAGGCAATTAGCGCTCACCATAAATAAATGATACCCGGATTTGCTTATGTGACAATTTCCCATGTTAAAAAGAAGAGAATTGTGATCATACATTTAGCAGTTGAGAGCATTCAAAATGTAAAATATACAAAACTCAAGGGATGTGTAAAGTATTTGCACATAGAAAAGAATGTTTTGATAAAATGCATAAAAGGCAAGAAAATCCAGTGAAAAAATTCAGAAAATTTTTCACTGAATTTTCTCGTTTTTTATTACTCATTTCGAGAGCCATGTTAGATTTTGAAACTTATGGCTCTCCAACGGAGAAATGAACAGCTGAATAATAAAATCAAAACACTTATTCTGGTGACCAGTTCATATGGTTAAAATAACGAAATGATGAAATGTTACCATGTGTCTACTTACCAGTTTGTTCTATGTCATCCATCCTGCTAGGTTACATTGTGGAAAGCAGCCAAACACGACAATGAAGGCAACAACATATCGATATTGATCTTTGCAGAATTTTGGGAAACTAAAGATCGTCCATTTTGCAAGCTCAAGTGACTGATCATGTGACACGTGTCTGATCACGTGACTAGTTACTGTAAGGATCATGTGACTTAATGACGTGTCACCCAACCATGTTTTCAAGGAAAACGGTAGTAAATATTTTGGAAAATGTTTTGCCAGCATTTGCTGCTGATTATAGAAGGCCCAATTACGCAATGAACGAAACTGCTAAATTGTATTTCGTGCCTAACAGGCCCCGTACGCAACGAACGAAACTGCTAAATTTGAATTTTAAGTCTGCTTATTGATCTATTGATTCATTAAGACCTGAAATGATGCATTCAAATAAGACCGCCTCGTTAATGAAAAGACTACACATAAAGTGGTGAAAAACAACGAACTAAAGTTGAAAGATCGCAATGTTCGCTACTTTGTTCAATTCCGGAAATCTCCAAGGGGCTGCAAATGGGAAATTTTTTAGATTTAGATTTATAGCCTCAGAATACTGTCTTCAGTGTCGTGTTTGCCTGAGTTCCACAATGTAACCTAGCAGGATGGATGACATAGAACAAACTGGTAAGTAGATACATGGTAACATTTCATTATTTTAACCATATGAACTGGTCACCAGATATGCGTTTTGATTCTAGCAGACCTAGCTACATATATATCAAAATCCGTATAGCTTTCCCAGGAAGTAAGTTTTTTTATAGATTTTACAGAAAGCTCTTTGTGCTAGAGCTGGCATCAAATGTCGGAATGGTCGATTGTCAGTCGAATGCTCTCTGCGACACCCATGTCGACACAACGCCTCTTGATCTACAGTCGGAACTCACAACATAATAAGCTATTTCCCTATGAATTAAAATCTTTGTTACTACCTGCTGTATGGTGTATTTTAGTGAAGTTTTACCGCCTACATTTTCAAATTTTATTTTTTGTTTTGATCGACTTCCTGCTCTCGAATTAGGTCTCGGGGCCCCTCGAGATTTACCCTCGAGATTTATTTTCAATGGCTGCCCAGAAATAACAACAGAAATCGTAGTTTTTAGGTTTAAAGTTTTTTTATTATCATTTAAACAAAACAAATTACAAACACAGCAAGGGCCGAAGCAATGCATTATTGGCCCATCGTAGTTTATTGTCTATTTATTGCTTTTTCATCAAAGTCTGATACTTGAACATGGTTTACCTGTAAGTTAAATATGAAGGACCCACGGTCCTATGCTCACACAGTTTGGAACCTTCAGAGGAATTTATATCCTGACTTTCAAACAAAAATATTGATTTGGATTTGTAGTCTCGAACTTTGAGAAACTTAGATAGCAAAGTTATGTGACCTAGTTTGATGACCTTTGACCTTGAAAATTTTACTTATTCAGAGCTCAGTAAGGTCTTTTGTGATTAAGCTGACCAAAATTTACATCCAAAAATCAATTTGAAAAATCAACTTTTTTGACCTTTCGAAAGTCACTGAAGGTCAAGTAAAGGTCAAATCCTAAAACTAATGTCAGATTTGAACTCCTGATTTCAAAAAAAAATTTGGTCAAATTGAAGCAAGTTGAAAAATAACTTATTTTTACTGTTTTTTGACGTCAAATATTTCAAAAACGGTAAAAATTTGATGCTGACATATATTGAGAAATATGTAGGGAATGCTTAAATCTATTAATGATGTAATTTATTGCAGGAAATGATCAAGTATAAGACAAACTTTAAGAATCTTGTCAATCACAAAACCTGCCATTGACTTTATACATGAGAAAGTTTCCTGAAAATGACCTAAGTCCTACTTTTTTTCAAATTTTATAGAGTAAACACCAAAAACCGTAATTCCAAGAGCTTTGAAATCTTCAGAGGACATAAGTTGCATAGACACCAACTACTAAAAGTTATTTGAAAGTTCTACTTCAACAAAGTGTCTAGTATTTACAGAAAAGTTGACTTTTTGACGGACGGACGCCTGGTCAATCCCATAGGCTCACTGTGTGAGCCAATAAAACATACAACTGAGGATGACTATTGTGCATCGTATTGCTAATTGCAAGCCTAGAAAATCTAAAATTCAGACGGATTTTCTTCAAAAATTTTTTCATTTTTCAAATATCATTGGACCCGACAATGTCGATATCGTTGTCGATCGAGAGCTTCGACATGTCGACATTAAAATCCTATTCGATGCCAGCTCTACTTTGTGCAAAACTGGAAGATGTAGACAATGTGGGGAAGGATTAGTCGCTTCTCTAACTGTGTCTTACATCAGTATCATCAATCCGTGTAAGTATTGGAGCGCTGAAGTACTTCCTTTTCGATCAAGACTTGTAATTGTTAGTCGAGTGAATGTTTTTAATGCCAAATTCCAATATGGCGTTTTCTGCTCGGACATTTTCGTAAATCTCCGGAGGTTGTCCGAACCAAACTAATTCTCAAAATTCATTTCGTTCGTTGCATATCTCCCTCCTAGCAAACCGCCATATTGGAAATAGGTCTAAAAACATTCACTCTATGAACAATTTACAAGTCTTGATCGAAAAAAGAAGTATTTCAGCGCTCTAATACTTACACGGATTGATGATACTGATGTAAGACACAGTTAGAGACCAAAAGTAAGCTGCGGATCGACTTAAGGTCTCATGGAAGTTAACAGGAAATGACAAAACAAAAAATGACAAAGCCATGCTGGATTTTGAAAATTTTTTGAACCAAGATAACAGAGTTCTGTTTGGACCTCCAGTCAGTTTAACTAGTTCCAAATATCATTTACATGACCAGGAACACAATTGAAATGGTCAGAATGACCATAAACATGATAAAATAACTTTTTTAGCCCTCTGAAAATGTGACTGAAAAATAGCTAAAAGTAGGTGCTCAGGTAGACTGTATCCTTCGTCTGAATAAATATTCAGACTGTAAGTCACCTATTGTAAAATGTGGTGTTGAATAAATGTTACAAATAAGTTTGTTAAATGATAAAATGATTACCTTGTAAAGTACTTACAATATTATTTTTTCGTATATTGTCCTCTTACTGAAGATATTCATAAAATGTACAGACGCTTCTTGTAGCGAAGCCATTGATTAGGTCAAGCCATTTTGGCAATGCCAATTCTCACGATAAACGAGATTTAGCCAGTGACGTCAGTCTATTTGTAAACAAATAACACGTGGAGCGGACGGAAGCGTGTTGATAAATTCCATTTGTGCGGGAATTTATTAGATCTAGTCATTTATTATCATTATCCCGATTAATTTTCTTCATTTATAGTAAATAGAGCGGAAATATTCATGAAGAAGGCCGAGGTAATCAAGTAGTCATGTGTTGTCAAAGTTCAAAAAATTTGCATATCTCGTTTGGATCTCGTGAACTCAAACGTCCTTGACATTGATTTCGCGATGTACTTATAAACACATCCTGAAGTTTTGGTGAGTCTGAACATTTCATTATTTTATATCAACTTGTACCCGCCTTATACAAATATTTTTGCTTCTAGTTTAAGATGAACATCTCTTCAACATATTCACCAATTTTCAAGGTGAACATTCTTGTAATAAACGAGAAATTTATGTGCAAAAAATATCACCGCGATTTCCATAGGAAATATATCAATCATAACAGACCGAATATTATATTCGGTCTGTTGGATACATACTAGTGCTCAGGAAAGGTCAATGAACAGAATCTTTTGATTTTTTCAGAATATGTGTCCAATATATTGCTCTAAATGACACAATCTTTGAAATTTTAAAAAATCGTCTGAAACAATAATGGCTGTAGTAAAAAGGAAAATAGATCGATTTTCAATTCAGTTTTTTTCAATTTTTTCTTTTTCTAAGAATGATATCAAATTTTTTTGAATTGTATCATTTAGAGCAATATATTGGGCACATTTTCTGAAAAAGTCAAAATATTCTGTTCAGTGACCTTTCCTGAGCACCTACTCTTAGCTATTTTTTAGTCACATTTTCAGAGGGCTGAAAAGGTTATTCTATCATGTTTATGGTCATTCTGACCATTTCAACTGTGTTCCTGGTCATGTAAATGATATGTGGAACTAGTTAAACTGACTGGAGGTCCAAACAGAACTCTGTTATCTTGGTTCAAAAAATTTTCAAAATCCAGCATGGCTTTGTCATTTTTTGTTTTGTCACTTCCTGTTAACTTCCATGAGACCTTAATTCGTTTTCAAAGGTCACAATCATTCAGCTGTCCAAATGCTCCGTGGGATAGCTATTATATCAAAATCCAAATAGCTTTCGCAGGAAGTAATGGAAGGAGTGATTCCTGTTTGAAAAATAACAGGCGACTCAATTGAGGAAAATCAGAAAAATTCAGAAGAGTACCACAAACCTACCTTTCTTTGTTTTGTTTTTCTTGGGTATGGTAAAAGATTTCAACGTATCGATTTCGGAATCGAGAAGTTTTTCTGTTTTCGGTAGCTCTGGTAAGATGTCCAACCCATCTCTCGATGAAGTTGAACTCCGAGGAGTCTCAACTTTTCTATCGTCTTTGCGTCCTTTACTCACATTTTTGTTGATTTCTTTCGAACCCTGTTGGGTTCCTGATATTTCATCTTTGCTTATATTATCAGAAACATTTAAAATATCAAATACATTAGCCATCTGAGGCAAGTATTTGCGAATTTTCTACCAACATTTTTGTGAAAATATTATTTTTCGACGCCATGTGACCTACTTTATTTCAACCAATCATACTTCTTTTAACAAAAATTCGCAAAGTTTTATTAGTTCCAATTTGATTGGCTAAATATTCTAAATTCATCACGGGCGCCAAACGTGAATTATCGTACAACATGTACAAGTCACAGTTACCGTCATTCATGATGGTTGCCGAAATTCTTTCGTTTTCGACAAACCACTAATTGTAAATAACCACAGCTAAATGCTCTTATAACAACTCGGCGATATGGGTGAATTTTAAAGAAAACAGCTTCACTTAGATCGACATCACCAACCTCAGTTAGAGTCATTCTAAGTGAAGCCGTTTTCTTTCAAAATTTCCAATCATACGTACATAATAATACATATGTCAAATGATACATTCCTTCTTCGAAAAAGAAAATCCTTCAAGAAAAAAACGTAGGTCCACATTTTCAGGAGACCCGAACTAGCTCCCCCTTTGCTACTACGGGTTTGAATGCAAAATCTTGTGTACCGTTTCATTTGTTGTGTTGCATAAGCTCCCACATAAGTTGCTATTTCATGCGTTAGTTTTTTATTTCCATTTATCGCAACATAGCGTATAAGTGATTTTTTTTGTATTATGTCAATCGTAGCCATCATGTATGTCAAATATGAAGTTTATGGCCAGGTGTATGTCAATCATTCGCCTTGAGCTATCGCAAGGCCAGACTTCAGCTAATGCTCCATATATAGAATATGAAGACAAAATAAAAAAAATTAATCCGATATCTAACAATCAAATCTGATCTATTTTGGAACTACTGTAATGTAAAAATTGAAAATTGATTGATTCTTTTATCTCTATTACCTACTGGGTAGCATTTAGTAACATGACGGGAAATTTAGATGGAAATGTTTCACTCATATTTTAAGGGTAGCGACAAGACCCCATGAGATAGCATCAGGGCGCCAAGTAAGACCATTCGATTCCATTTTCAGGACGAATGGAAACGGAGAAAGGGTTAATACAAGGTGAGCCAAAAAAGATAACCCTAGATAGTGTTAAAGGGACGTGTAACTAAAAGTGAACTGTTTGTTCACAGTTGTTCACATTCGTGCATTGAATACTATTTCAAAAAGTGCACCCCGTTAGTTGAACTGTTTATTCAAATTCGATTCTAGGGGGTTATAATGCCGCTTTCAACCAAGGGGCTCCAAAATCAGTATATACTTGAATCAATTATGTTTTACCAGAACTGAAACGGAGAAACGTGTTTACATCTGTGTTGATGTGTGTTATCGAGTTTTAAATATTTATCTAAAGGCTAATGTAATCATAAAATAAAATGGATGAGCTGTTTTTGGCACCTAAACCCATCTTAATAGAAAGGTAAGACTATTTATCTAAGAAGTATTTCTTGAAATCTCTTTGAAATCCTTGAGTGTGGCTTTAAGTGGTTGTAGAATGGAACGCTTTAAGGCAGAATCGGAAATACAATGGACAGCAAAAAACAGGGAACGTGAACGTATAACGACCCTGGATAGCAAGTTGCTACTACAGCCTAGTTGTAGTAGCTTAAGTCTATACTGCTCAGTTGGTAGAGCATCAGTCAGTCGGGTCCAAGGGTCATAGGTTCGATTCCCACTGCATTCAGCACACTTCCTTTCAATTATCTGACTTGTTACACTATGCTCGTTAGTAAGCCATTCCCCAGAGCGTCCTCGGGTCATAACATTGGTGTCAGATGTGGGATCAAAGTATTGGTTTTATCCTTTGCACCCGTGTGTGTGTTGTAAGTCACTGCATCAGTTTTTGGATCCAAGGCAGGGTCGTAGGTTCGATTCCCACGAGGGGAATTGATCGAAGTAATCCTGGAAGAAACCCCTCCTTGAAGGGAGTCCTGTGTGATTTAATGTGCACTCATTCATCTGTTCATAGGCATAGTTCAGTTCAGTACGCATTGCAAAGTGCCTGAACCGGGGATCTAACATGGGACCTATGTGTAATTGGAACACTGCACATGATATCTCATCAAAGGATTAGACTTTTTGAGATTTACAGAGCAAACATACATTGTGTGTCCCTAAAGAGTGAAGTCGCAATTCATGCAAATATTGGCAAATTGAAACCTGACAACTAACATAAAACGATTTTAATTGCTCAGCTCTGAAATTAGATTTTTTTGACAAGCTGTTTTGACTTTGTCGTTTCTCACACAATATGTGAAACTGATCTCTTATATTTAATAGTAGACTTGCTGATGATACCATTAGTCTACGAGTACTCTGTATACACATATTCAATGAATTTGAACAAACTTCGCTATTGCTGAGAAAATACTTGTCTCAAAGCGCTCAACTTTTTGGGGACAGCTGATATTATAAGTTATTCAATGTTTCGAGTGAAATACAGAAACTATTCTGCCCGAGAAGGTCTGTAGAGTGGAATACAGACTTTGAGGGCAGAATGTTTTCTGTATTTCACGAGAAATCATTGAATAACGTTTTTCCCCATGATCACTCAGATGAAACTCTCCCAAAACCAAGTCTAATTCCTTGACCTGGCCGGAGAAAATTCAGACAGATCACTCACCCCATAGATTTTTTTGATCGATGTACTTATTCTTGTTATTTGCTTTTTTGTTTTATACGGTTCGTTTAATTTTAAGTCCCTTCTCTCCAATTTCATCAGCTGAAAGTGCAGTGTAGCGACTTTAGTCTGCCAAATTGGATTTTTACTAGTTCATGAAAACAATGTACATGCTTCAAATTGATTCTTATATTTATAGATGCTGGGTTTTTATCCTCAAATTATAAATTGTGATGATGACAGTATCATTTTCTGATATTTAAAACAGATATTTTTTGCACGCGTCAGCTTAAACTAATCGCCATCATATCCTGGATGGAAATCTGGGTTATTGGGATACTAACACCCCAGTCACATTTGTCGTACGGAGTCCGTGCGTCGACCGCAGATCAATTAAATCAGTGTATTTCTGCGGCGAGCGTAGGAAAACTACGCTCGCCTCGGAGTTATAATAAATGTTCATTTCTGAGGTCGCCCTAGAAATCAACTGGCTCAACAAGATTGAATCATTATTTGTCAATGTTTCACGATCACTTTGCATTTGATATTACATCCTAGCACTATAAATAACATTTATAAATTGTCCCGATGTAAATAAAATGAAAAAGGTATTATTTATCAACAGAAATTTAAAATTCACCGTGCGGCTGCCGTGGGAAATGTGACTGCAAAAGTACGAGAGCGTAGAAATTCCACGGCGAGCGTAGAAATGTTACTGGCCGCAGAAATGATAGACCGCAAGGTCACCGTAGGAAATGTGACTGGGGTGTAAACCGCATCCCAACGGTGATGTCATTTTCACTCTGTATCCAACGCTAACACCCCAGTCACATTTGTCGTACGGAGGCCGTGCGTCGACCGCAGATCAATTAAATCAGTGTATTTCTGCGGCGAGCGTGGGAAAACTACGCTCGCCTTGCGGCCTCCGTACGGCGTATCCGGTTTTTTACAGGCCGCAGGGTCGTCGTAGAAATATAACCCGGAGTTATAATATTTGTTCATTTCTGAGGTCTCCGTAGAAATCAACTGGCTCAACCAAGATTGAATCATTATTTGTCAATGTTTCACGATCACTTTTCATTTGATATTACATCATAGCACTATGAATAACATTTATAAATTGTCCCGATGTAAATAAAATGAAAAAAGTATTATTTATCAACAGAAATTTAAAATTCACCGTGCGGCTGCCGTGGGAAATGTGACTGCAAAAGTATGAGAGCGCAGAAATTCCACGGCGAGCGTAAAAATGTTACTGGCCGCAGAAATGATAGACCGCAAGGTCGCCGTAGGAAATGTGACTGGGGTGTTAGTTGAGAGTGCGTGTAAATACACTGAGTCACGTGGACCAATCAGATTGCTTGGAATTTCACCATCATGGAATAAATAGAGGTTATTTAATGGAAGGGATGGAATATGAATTTTATTCCGAGGGAAAATATGATACTGTCATTTTATATCATATTTTCTCAAGGAAAAATTCATATTCCATCACGACCATCAATAACCTATTTATTTTATAATAATTTTCTAAAACTTATTTGTTTTTTAATTTTTGTTTGCCATCACCCAAAGATTGTGACTTAAAATAATACAATTTAAATTATCATATAACATTTTCAGAAATTATCATATAACATTTTCAGAAATTAGAAATTACCGGGAATAGTTACGGGATCTGATACGGGATTTTTGCCGATACGGGATCCAATACGGGATTTTGGCTGATACGGGATCTGATACGGGATGTTTCGAATATCAATTTTATTCCCTCTTATTTTCCCTGAGAAACATGTGATTATGGAATGAAAGTAAATATTCTCCCAAATAATCAAGGTGGATATCCCGGCCACATTTACAAAACATTTAAAAGTGTTTCTTGTGTATTGTGTACCGAGATCAAGTTCAGCATTTATATATGCGTCACTAAGAACCACGGTGCAATAGTATATAGAAAAGTATACTTATTTTTCAGATGCGGAACGTGTGCATGTTTAACTTGGATGGTTTGTTGTTTGGCTACTAAAATGTATGCCATCTTGTATTTTGATGCTACTCTGACATTTAATTATTGAGAAAATATCACTAAACTGATATTGGATAATGCCTACCGCACATAACACGAATCTATTTGAAATATACAATTTGAAATATACATTTTGCACCTCAATATATAAATGCATTTTTCAATACAAAAAAGATTAAGTTGATTGTAGAATAATCGGAGGAGTTTTTTCATGCATTTCGCTTATTTTTTCATCCAAAAAACACCAATACACTTTAAAAAATATTGACTTCAAGATATAATTCTAAAACTATTTCTCATTTTCAAATATCATTCATGGATTAACACCCAGGTATTTTCATTTTTCAAACTTCAGAGGACTGAGGATCATTGATCCTAATTTCTTTTGAATAATATGAATGCTGTAGGTTTCATGTTTGCCAATAATTTCTCAAATTATGTAAATGGTAACCATTTCGTAATCCCGAGAATTTTCCCTTTGAAGAGTTTCCCTTAGAAATACAGTTCCAAGCAGATACAGTTCCAAGCAGATAGAGATAACAAGAAACTAAATCTTTAATAAACACAGTTTATCGGGTTGTTTTGGTTTGACGTTGCACATTAGTGACATTGCGTCTTTTTCAATAGCTCTCATGCCTTAGAAGTAGCAATTAAAATTCATACAAGGGGTAACATATTTTACCATACCTAATGGCTTTATTTATTTAATGATTTACTTGTGAACTTTCTCATGAAAAAACAAACCTTGCAAGTTTGTTGAATTTTTTTGAAAAAGTCGTTTTGTTCCCCACCCCCTGCCCTCACCATATTTTGTACGTTGGGCGTTAACAGTTCAGCGATGTCTGCAGTATGAAATACTATCGATTTCTTTGCTTAGTTTTAATAACATATCCAGCGTGATATTGTATTGGATGGGATTGTATTAGTATAAATACACATGACATGACTTAAAGCTTTACATTCGGTATTCATACAATTGTACACATCCAATTATAGCAGAGCTATGAAAATATATGCATTAGTATGACTATGAAATGAAAATGTAGGCAGTGGTACTCTGATTTTATTTCCTCTTTATTTAATGTTTACGAGGAACATTATAGTACGGTCCAAGAGATAGTGGATAATGTGGATCGCACAATGCAGCAGCGGAGATACTTCGTTTGAATGCATTAATAGTGCAGGCATCACACTGCGAGGGTGATATCCGAGTGATAAATGCAAAGGTAAGAAACGAACTTGATGGCATGTAATTGATGGAATGCAATTGCAAGCTGTCACAATATGCCATATATCACTCTTTTTGACAAGCACCATCTTTTAGAACCATCGTGCATTGATTAGGTGTTTCAAAATGAACGTTTTTGATAAATAATGGGCCAATAATAGTAAAACTGATCACTGGGCGATGGTTATGCTCATGGACTTGGGCAATGTCCCACATTAATTCTCAGGCCTTGATCTGGATTAACCAACTCTTTATAAAACACAAATTGTACACACATATAGGATAATAGGATAAATCACAGGCAGAAATCGAGTGTCTTAATTTTTAATTGTTTTTTTTGTTTTGTTCTTCTTCTTGTTGATCGAGGGGAAACGTATTCACTCGTTTGCGTCCCAGTTGTCGGCATGTTTATTTCCAAGATTAACGTACTGGAATTTTGGCTAAAAGCAGTAGCAATGTTTACCAATGTTGGATCGGAATCAAGCAGAGCCATTGATTTTTACTAACAAGCTCAAAGACTTCAATAGGCAAGAACATGTATAAATACTATATAGTCCTACACACATTCAGTCCGATGTTTACTAGTCCGGCAAGTGGCTTACGATGAACATATATTACAGCGTGCTATGTTCAAGGATGCTCGAGTAACATACAGTGAAATACCAGCAGAGCTTAAAACACGAAGTCCATAGAGGTAAGGTGCATTTTGTGCTATATACATGTACTGTATACAGGGCCTCTTTGGTTGATTGTGAGGATCTTTCTGATACTCCCATTATTCATCATTAATAGCTATATTTTGCATTATGTATGATGTGATGGGAGGGGGGGGGGTATCATGAGGGGTTTCTGAATTTGTTAAAACCATTTTCATCTTATAGAAGGATCCTATTCCTATCCCTTTTTGTAATTGGAAAAACACTTTCATTGCCTGCTCAATCCATTGAACCAGTTCGGTTTAGTTTCAACTTGGCACAATGACTATAATGATAGTCAAGATACCATCGTTTTCTGTCATGACTGGAGTTGATTCAGACTTAAGAGTTGATTGAATAGGGGTTGTTATTATCAATATTGATCATGAGCTTGAACTGAGATGACTGTAAAATAATATCTTACTCCACATAACAGAAAACTGCAGCTGCCGAGTTGTTATGGTGCAGCTGTAATTCTAAATATAATGTTTTAGCATTAGTGCCTGGGATATAAGCTGTAGTTATTGCAACCAAAAATAATATGCCCTACCCGCGTTATGACCCGCATTATGACCCGAGTTATGTCCCTGGCTTGGCTACATGGATGAAAGTCCAACATAATCTTCTTAAGGATTTTATTCGTTCCCATGGGCGTAAACAGGTATGAGGCAGGTAGGCAGCTGCCTCGCCAACATTTTAAAGATGTTTTTACTTAATCTGCAATGGTTATCTAACTTTGCCTCGTCTGTTTTTATTTTGGCTCCGTCCCTGCCTTTCATTTTGAGATATAATAGCTACCATATTAAAAATACATCAACAAAAACGACTCGTGCTCAGAAATGAAGAAGTTATTATAACTTATACTACTGTTTTAAAATGTCACATATTGTTAAAATGTACCTTAATAACAAATTGAGGACGTTTCACTATTAATGTAAGAATTTGTTCTCTTTCTAGAACAGATGATTCTACAATGTCAAACACCATGCAACATACAATCCATAACAAAACAGGTCGAACTATTTTGCTCAATTCATCATGCAACTACAGAATTTCTAGTGAAGGGATTTCACCTTAAATAACTGGAATGAAAATAGCTTAGTTATACTAAGACTGGCCTTAGAGTAAATAAAATGTGAAAATCAATACGGTCGTGATGCCCTGTAAGCTAACAAAGATGAACTGTTTTCTGAAATTATTGTTTACTGTCGCATGTATGTTTGACATTATACTCTCAGTTACCTATTACCCATTCGGATATTTCATGACAGTCATCTTTTTATTTTTCAACTAGAAAGGAACTGATAGAAGGCCGTGATTTTTCTCCCTTGAAGCAGATTCAACTTGATAATCGAAGAGTCAAACTATCTCGCATCCTCCGAACACAGGGCTACAGATCTGAGAGTGAGCAAAAATTGTTGATCGCTTGCATGGAAAAATAATTGGCCCCCTAAAACCGAAAATTGGGCCGTCTAAAAAGATAAGGCCGATGTTTTTGATAATTTGGCCAAAAAAGGCTTTAAAGGCAAAATTAATCCAAAAAGGCCCATTTTTGATTTTTTTCCCCGCCCGTAACCCCGCCCTGGATCCGCCAGTGTGAGTATCTTCATATGTTATATCGTCCAATACCGAACTGTTAAATATTATTATGATCTACATTAGCTTATAGTATCATTAGCTTATCATGCAACAAACTGGGAAGCTTTTTTTCATCCTATAGACCCTTTCCGGTAGTTCGATTTTGCTTCTTTATAAGATAGCTTCACCTACTTTTATTACTAGACTCCAACAACAGGGTCGAAATCGGAAATATCTGATGTAAGCCTTTGCATAATATTTCTTTCCATAATTCCTATTGTGATGGCGTGATGGTTACAATTATGGGGAAATATATTACATAAAATGGATTCAGGTACATTTTACAACATGCAACATTTCATAACAATGATTTCCCTTTATTTTAAACTGGTAACAACTGGTCTAATTTCTATTTAGTGACCGTTCTGGGCTCTACACTGAAGTCCGGCTGCTAATAGTTGTTTGCATTCACGATAAATAGACCCTTTGCATTCGTTCGACCCTTTGCGTTCGTTCGACTTCACTTCTTAAAAGAAAGCTTCGTCGAAGTTTATAACTAGACTTTGCGCGCATGGTACGATAAATACTATACACGTTTTGATGTTTTTGTTCAAAAGACCCCACAATATACGAAGTGCAATTCAGCTTACTTGAGATGGCCTTCAAGTGGCATCCAGTAAAACATATAACTTCAATTTGCATCACTATCAAACATTTGTTTTTTGTAACTGGGAACATTGAAGCTTAATAAGGTTAATAAATAGGTACGTTAAACTACACGTTTTCAAAGAAGTCGTACGTGAACGTATAGAATTAAGGTCTTTGAGGAAAAGTTCTATCAGTTGTAGTTTTTTGTGCCCGATAGAGTTTCAAGGTACAAGAGAAATAATTGTAATTAGGTCCCTGGGAAAGTCAATTGAGAGCGGGGACGAAATATTACACGTTCACCGAAACAAGTTCTCTTAAAATCTAGTTATTTAACCTTTTTATCAAAAAGCTACATTTAAATGATATAAAAACTACATTACAAAAAACTACATGATATTAAACTGTTGTCTGATTTAATCGTCTATCCGTTTCACTTAAAAATCTAGCCGTTTGTTAACCTACATCCTTACACAGAGCAAAATAGGTCTGTTTAGTTACAAGCAAAATACACTGGTGATCCACTCGATTACGCTGGTTACGCTGTTACCAAAACGGTTCGTTTTGGTAACAAAATGTCGGAACGTCGAAGGTACGGTTTTTCTTTTTTTTCCTTATTTCACACGTTATAGGCAGAATCCCCACGACGTATTTCTCACAAACGTATATCGGTATCATATTTTTTAGAAAATGTTCATGTTTTTGCGAAAAACTAGCTCAGATCCCAACAGAATCGTCGATTTAATTCCTCACTTAAGTTACATAAACGGTTTGGGTTAAAATGCAGATCTTAACTGTTTTTCGAAAATCCGTTTAAATGTAACTTAAGTGAAGAATTAAATCAAAGATTCTGTTGTCTTCTGAACTATTTGTTCGCACATATGTACATTTTCTTAAACATATGATAAAAAATGTCATGGGAATTCTGCCTACAACGTGTGAAATAAGGAAAAGAGAAAAATCGTACCTTCGACATTCCGACATTTTGTTACCAAAACGAACCGTTTCGGTAACCAGCGTAATCGAGTGGATCACTAGTGAAATAGGTTTGCAATTTAGTTGAGCAAAATAGGTCTGTATTTTAGTTGAGCTGGTACGTATTCATTTTGATACAAAAACAAAGTAGTTATATCTAAAAGACTAAAAGAGCAGACGGAATGTTGAATTATATCTACCAAGTCAACATCTCGCAACGTAACAACAGCGTAATATAACATGGTCCCTACATAATATAACAATAATGGTCTCGATAATTTGAATTCCGATTGAGAACAGCTATACAAAAACGTGTTGTTCATCACCAACTATTTAACTCAGGAGTGTAACTTGACTTTACAAAACAACAATAGATTTTATTTAAAATATTTAAGTCCAAGGTAACATATTCACAATTTTTATTAATTATCTTTGTAGTGCCACCATGGGCTTTCAACTTGAAAGCCCATGGTGCCACTAAATGTTCTTTTTAATATTTTACTTTTACTATTTTACTAAACTTATAAACAATGATCTGTTTGAAGCCTTCAGCAAAAAATGCATCGCACATTGGTAGTTTTTCTTTCACTAAAATCCATTTCTCATATAATATTAAAAGGGACACTGTCATATCAGTGACCAAAGGACATCGACACCTCTCATGAAGATAACAGTACCTCCAAAAGAGTAAAGAATCTTTGAAATTCTGGATTGTTGAATTCCAAAATTGTGTAAAATTGTGACTATTGTTACGCGGTATATGGCATACATTCATGGTTGCGCGGTATTTGTGATACAGGTGAATATGCCATACTCACCTGCGGTATATGGCATATTCCGCAGGTGAGTATGCGATATTCCGCAGTGAATATGCGATACATTGATTTCAGGGAATACCCGATACTCACCTGCAGAATATGTCATACTCACTTGCGGAATATGCCATATACCGCAGGTGAATATGACATATACCGCAGGTGAAAACGTGATACAGAAAGCCTTGATTTGATTGGTTGCGAGAATCGACTCTAAATGTAAAACTACGCTGGATTACCACTATAGTTAGTGCGTCGAGTACTAATATATGAATCCTGGATTGATTGAGTAAGTTTATTACACGACTGATACTTCTGCTAAGTTAATATATTCGATAATGTTTGATTCAGTAATCATTATAATAATTTATAACGTTTTGTACTTGTTCGTTCAATCGATGCAATTGACAATTGCGTACTTCACGTTCTCATTGGTTAGTGTGTATGCCATATACCGCAGGTGAATCTGTCATACACCGCAAGTGAATATGCCATATTCGTTGCGGAATATGACATATTTTTGTATCGTGTTTACCGCGTAACAACTATTACCATATCTTGATTTTAGATACAGATTTAGCATAAACATACTTAACGACTTGTGTCTATATGACTAGATGTCGCCAAAGTATTTGCAAAACGAACCCCGAAAGGTATGGCATCGTGGTCGCATCATGCTGCTGCCATTGTTTCGTATATGGGATAAGCTGGACAGTTGGCGTATTCTTTGTGATGTTTTTGGACGCATTTCAAGCAAAGAAAGGAGTCACTGCATGGGCAGGGTCACTGAACACGGCTTGTTGTTATGCAGTTGGTGAGTGGGTTAAGCCTGAGAATCTAGACAAAGAGTGTACCAATAAAACATATATCGAGTAGGGATGGTATAGTACGCTACCCGTTTTGAAGAGAACATGTACGCGAACTTGTGATATTGCGACGAACGGGGGTTACCTCTGTATCCCCCTCTCCACTCGTTTTTCTAGGGTCTCAATCAGACAAGAAGGGAGAGCAAATCTCAGGAGGACAGTTATTGTACAGGTTCTCTTCAAAACATGTAGTTTAGCCTCCCTATTTTCCTATCTTTATTAGAAGACACAGTTGCTCCAACTTCACATCATTGCTACATTTGAAATCGAATATTCTGATGCGACCAAGTCGTTTGTTCTCAAAATCAATCAGCTTTTAAGTGATGCATTTTATTTAGGAATTTCATGTCTTTCAAATTTTGCATTGGTGAACACGTACGACATACGTAAACCTAAATGTAAGCCATAATAAAAAAGAAGAAAAAACATCAGTAGTTTTCTTCCATCAGTGATGACATGCTGTCATAACAAACTTATACGAATCACCTGTGCTAATCGAGTCTTTAGACAACAAACTTGGAAGAACGGTCATGAAAGAAAGTTGACGTGTGCCACACAAATGATTCTACAAACATGGTACAATAGTTTCTTATTCTAGGACCAATAAGCAGTATGTTGACGAACAAATTTGGCTGCAGACCCACGGTTATCTTAGGTGGCGTTATATCAGCTATTGGTCTTGGAACAAGCGCGTTTGCCACTAACATATACCACCTGTATATCACGTTTGGTATAGTTACAGGTAAATATTTATTATCATACGTTTAGAAGTTTAGGCAACGCACAATCTAATATTAGCATATTGTCTGTATTTTATCTAATAGGAACGTCAACCATTCTTTCTTCACAGTGAAAGCACTATCGCCCAGAAGGAATATTGATTCCTAACAATCATTGAGCATTTTAGTGGAAAAATGTTCGATATACCTTTTTAGTCGCAAAATGTTTTGAAAACACTTGCCGAAAAAAAGTGAATCATGCAAAAGCTTCGAACATCCACCATCCTTAAGATGTACGTAAAAGTATTTCAAACTCACTTGCACGAGGTTAATATATGACAAAATCGCAAAACAAAAAAGGGCTAAATAAAGTGTGATTTAGTATGGGAATTCAGGGCCATAGCCACGTATTCATATAGGCGAGGCAAATTGGAATCGATCTTGAGCCTAAAATTGAGTCAAGGAGGCAATGATATACAATGAATTCGACTTCATTTTCACGGTTTCTATTATAAAAATAAAAAATTTCTGTAAAATGTTGTCATCGCCGTCCTCATACCTTGCTTTGCCGATGGAATTCGTTTGGAGGGAATTTTATTTTACAAGTGGGATCACAATATAATATCTTCTTAGACTCGTAGTTGAAAAAATCCAATAATTGAATAAATGACACGACCGCACTGCACTTGTTATGCATCAATACATAGTGTGTATATTTCATTTTTTATTCAGGAATTGGTTTTGGCTTCGTTTACATTCCGTCCGTGTCTATTATTGCCCCATACTTCAAAAAGAAAAGAGCGTTGGCATACGGAGTTGCAACAGCTGGAATAGGAATTGGTTCAATGGTCTACCCGCCAATTATAGATGCTTTGAACAATCAATATGGATGGAGAGGAACACTACTTATACTCTCAGGGATTACATTAAATATATGCGTTGCTGGAGCATTTATGAAACCATTTAAAAGTACAATAGACGACGCAAGGGGAAAGGTTAAGGAAAGACTGTTTAACGTAGGGATATTTCGTTCGGTGGATTTCCTCATACTTTGTATGAACAATATGCTCTTTTGCTTTGGTGTGTCAGTGGTATACACACACTTGGCCGAATATGCATTGCAAATGGACATAGGGGGAAGGGAAAGCTCTATATTATTTTCTGTAATTGGTATCTCGAACTTTCTGGGTCGATTTGTGTTTGGATTCATAGGAAATCATCCATTGAGTAACGATATACTTGTATATTTGTTTGGCTTTTTAATACCGGGTATAGCAACGTTATTGGTACCTTTACTCACACAGTTTGAATCTCTCTTGATATATGCCACTATTTTCGGAACATTCACTTCAGTATTTGGAGTACAACTTGCCAGTATTGTATGTCAGATAATAGGTGAAGACCAGTTGGCAACAGGGTTCGGTGTTTTGCTTCCATTTGAAGCATTTGGAACAATGCTTGGAGGACCAGTGGCTGGATTCATGTACGATGGATTTGAATCTACAGGGTCATTCTTTGTTGGAGGCGGAGCACTAGTGCTGAGTGCCACGATTATGATTGTGCCATATTTGCGCGAGAAACGACTACATGCACGAGCGTTAAATGACAATACACGCATTAAAAACAATCTCACTGAGGTTATGGTGAAAACAGAAAATGAAGATACGGTTCATGAAGATCACATTTCCAACACTACATTAAGTGATAACACTGAAGAAAACGAAAAAGCCATAATGTTAGAAGAAATTCACACATGATGTTGATCTTTCAAATGGTACATCGCCTTAAAATGAAATGATGCATGCTGTAAAATGTAGTTATGGTACCATAGAAAGGAAATGGTCACCAAATGCTTAAAGTCCCCATATAAAGTTCAAACCACTTATATTGTAGTCTTACCCAATGTTATAAAAGTGTGATATGTGAAACTTTTTTTTTAAATTTCAAAAAGTGGTTTTTGATAGACTTTTTGTTTCAAAATTTGTGAATTTATTTAAAACTAACTTTTAGAAGTCATACATATCTTTTAATTAGCCACAATCTATACCAATGCATAGCATTCACCCGTCCATGTCTTTTGCCGAAAAAATTGAGAAAATCGGTTCATAAATAAGCGAGAAATGAACTTATCAGTGCATAAAAATGGTTCCGAGAAAAATGCATTTCAAAATTTTAGTGCTCATAGAAACCAATGGTACAATGATATCTAAAACATATAATATTTTTCCTTTTAACCTGTGTTAGACAATCAACATTGGTTTCTTATTGAAGTCTAGCATATTTAGAAAAGATTGACATCGAAAAAAAATTTTCAATTTTTTTCAAAAAGTTTTTGCTCCTCACTAATGTTTCAAAATATTTTTGATATGCTAAAACATTGAAGTGGCCCATTAAATATGGCATTTCATTATTGGAATAGTGTGTCCTTTGTTCAATCTTTGCATTGGTGTTAAACAGAATAATCTTTTTTTGAAATGCATTAAGAAATATTTGATGATTAAAAAATTTCATATTTGAGAATTGAAATGCTCACAACTTTTTTTCAAAATTTTTTTTTTCAAAAATCTCTAAAATAACTTTTCAAGTCATGACAAATAGTAAATGAATGATAAAAAAATATTTTCAAACTTTAGACGGGGACTTTTACATCGCCATGGCTGAAAAGAACTAAATGTTCACACTAATCACAATGCTTGTATACTTTTCTGTGTACTGTATTTTATGTTTTTTATGTTTATAATATGATAATCTTTATTATCACTCCCTTGCAAGGCTTGAAACTGCTTATATTTTATTATATTGACTTGTGATGTAAACATTTGTAAATTATATTGTTTGGAAATTCTCTGTACACATGGAGATGAGCTGTTGCAAATAGTATGTAGTTGTAAAAGGTAAAATAATAATCATATCATATATTTAAGGTATGGAGTATATACTAGTATTATAAAACCATAGTAACCCATATGTTATTGAAGACTATGGTGCTATTGTGATGTAACCATTTGTAAATTATATTATTTGGAAATCCTCTGTACATGGAGATGAGCTGTTTCAAAATAGTATCTATTGTAAAATGTTAAATATTTACATGAACATGTATGTATATCATGTATGATGTATGTGTAAGATCCAATAAAAAAAATTAAAAAAAATGAAAAAAAAGACTTGGGCAATAGGGGGAGCCATAGTCCGGGCCATAGTGCTGAACCATAATGGCCATTATCCTCCATTGCCCGCTGAAATAAGGTTATTTGTATATTGTCATATTTAATAAGTAAATACTGTTTTAATGGTGTTTGGCAAATATGTAAATATAACAAATATTGTTAGTATCAGACTCATTGTGCCCCAGAATAAATGTATTTGGAGGTATGATTCAGTTAATTTATGTAGTTATACAGTTGGAAAAATTGATTCCATGCTACGCCCTTGGCATACTTTAGGAGCCATAGTTTGACTCCGTAATAAAAATCTCATTTTATCTAATACTGATGATCGCTTTCAATTCAATAACTATCAATTCTTACTCAGCCAAGCCAGAGACATACTACATTATGAGAATGGCATGTTAGTTATAATAGTCTCTGACTTAGCAATAAATAACACCCCTCTACATGTTGACACACGTCATGTTTTGGTCACGATCATTGCAACTTGGTTTAAAGAAGTGTGCAAGCTAAAGCTAAACAATCTCTCTAAATTCAATTCATTTCGATCTATGGATATCTATACAAGACATAAAGATTGGGTAAGTTAAGTAATAATACTGTTAAGCTGAATATATAGATAGTGATGGCCTGGATGAACTGGATGTAATTCTAATGTCAGCGCAACTTTTTCATTTTGAATGATTGTTCGAGTAAGAACATTAGGAATATCATACGGCTACCACGCGTCATCAATTCTAAGGACTATAGTTTTCAAAGGCTTACGGTTTTCTGTCACCATATATTCAAAATACGCCCTGTGGCTGCCGTATCAAATGTGACGGCGAAATTATGGGACCATACAAATACTACGGCGGCCGTAGATTGCTATTTGCGGTTGCCATATGGCCTTTGAAATGATGACGTGCGGTCGCCTAAAGTGCGTCCCTACGACGGTCGTAGGGTTTTGACAAATACAAGGCAGAGGAGGTGCTAAGCGACCGCAAGGCGACCTTACGTTGACCGTGTAGCTTGCATGGTATGGTGACTGACCTTGCGGCCTAGGATACTTTTCTTTCTAAAATGTTGATTACCTAATACGTGAACCATTATATCCTCTGGAACTACCTCATTTTTGTGTTATCTCCACGGATCACACTGTCATATGCCGAGTTACAAGATGAAAAATTGACCTTTGATTGACCTTTGATATTACAAACATACTGTATTAGTGTAACCAGGCTATTTCATATTTTGAATTTCATATTGATCAATCCCCATTTGTTTCCTTGTTCATTTTAACAGGTCCTTTTAATCCTCTTGCATCAACTACTTTTACATCCAGTATTTCAGATATTTATAACCATGTTGTTTGCAAGTCACTTTTGTATATATGTTCCATTGTTTAAACCAGTTTTGTATGTTGTTTCATGCTGTGTTTGTTTTTACTTTTCATTCATGTCTTCATGTTATATATATAGATTACATTCACTCACTCATGAGTTTGGGTGTTGCCCAGTAAGTCAGTTAGTTAGTCAATTGTTGCAGAGATACATGTATCAGATTTTGAAATAGACTTTTTTAGACATTTTAAATCATAGTTTCTGTTGTATTTTATTCGCCACCCACGGCCTTCCATCGCCAATTTACATTGGTACCAGGAGTGGGGTAGGCAAGGATCTAAAGTGGGTAGGCAAGGATGTAAAGTTGGGTATAGGCACAAATAGTTTATAGCTGACTGACTGAATTTTAGCAACACAATGGATTTATCATTCTTGACCTGTTGGTTTTGTAAAGGAAGAGGCCATCGTAAAAGACAATGCATTTCGTTTATACAAGAGAGATATTATTGTTTATTATGTGGAACTAATGGAATGCATCGCACCAAGGATTGTCAATCATCTTTGACTGTAAATTGTAAATCTGTGCAGGTACAGACTAAGCCGAAAACACACAACAAGTACAGCCAAGCAAAATCTGTAAATATGGACATTTATACCAATGCAGTTTCCGATTATAAGCGAATCGAAAGCGAACTCTATGGTCAGAGGAAAGGAAACCAGATGTATAAAGAAAAAATCGCAAAATTGGAAGTTGAACGATTGGACGACAAAACTCGGCTGAAAACACAACGAAAATTGATAAAATCTCTGGAAAACGATATTCGTGAATATAATGACAAATTATATACTTCAACCAGTGAATCTAGCCTTCTACAATCTAAACTCAAAGAATCCGAAAAACAAATTACTGCACTGTCATCGCGTTCCAACGAATATTCAGCTATAATTGCAGACATCGAACATAAACTTCAGGATCGAACACAAGAATTAGAAATATATACATCAGTGATCCGATCGCAACAACTCAGAGTTGATGACCTTGTCAAATCGTCTACTGGAAATTCCAACTTTTGGGGACTACTAGGAAATCGTATCCTTCAGAAAACCTCATCACACAATCCATATTCCACGCTTACAGTGCTGATATATAATAATATAGGGTGCGTTTTCTAACTAAACAGAGTGTTCCTACTTGCCTACATACCCCTGAAACTCTTATCTGATAGATAGAATGCACAAATAAAACAAAAGTTTTGCTACTATAGGTAAAAAGTTCTCGTGAAATTTCGAAGTGATTTTACCTGTTAATTCTGTCCATGGTCCGCCATTTTTGGGGAAGTTAAACTGAAACGCAAACTCCATGAAACGAAACGAAATCACTAGAAAAAACATGGCACACATTGTGCGCATGTGCAGCAAAGTTTAGACCAATTAGATCATTTGATTATTTTGCGCACGTGAATTATTTGCTTCTGAGCACTTACAAGCTTACCACAATAAACAAACCTGGCAGAGACTACCCTTAGCCTACTTCATTTTGGCGAAATTTCAGCTCAAACTCGTGACAAATGCATTATGCATACGCTGGTATGAAGCCTTGGAGACACTCATTTTGGTAAATATGATTTATGGGGTATACTTTTCTGCAGTTTGTGGGAGTTTGGGACATTAAATGTTAAAATTCAAGAAAATATGCCAATTAAACGACTGATCAATTAATATATACCAGCACTGTACCAACCAACCACTAATCTTTGATGTCTGACGAACTCGTGTGCGTCAACTATCTACTATATGATGATATGAGATGATACAGTATAACACTGTTGTTGATATAATTCTGTTGAAATAATATATTGATTGCCGATATGATAATGATGCTGATGTGATATTGATAGTGATATTATTGACTTTTAAATCAATGTGTTTCAATTTTATATATAATATTATAATCTAACATTTTCTTTAAGTTTGACTTAAATATGATAATCATGCAAGTAATTAATTACATTTGCATCTTTGCTGCATTATAGCTAAACCATTTACAATCTCAATATTTGCAGATGTTAATTTAATTATAATCTCTAGTGGTGTATTGCATTGCCTTAAATGGTGTATTGCTTGGTCTTAATTGATGTATAACATAGCCAATCATGGTGTACTACGTATACTTTGCCACAAAATGGTGTTTATTTACGCTTATATTGGTGTACTATTTTGCCTATTGTGGTGTGGATTGATATAAGCCTATAATGGTGCTGCCAAGAGATGCAATTCAACATTTTGCTCATATTCTAAGGTTTATCGTAACGCAATGCAAAATTTCAGTATCTAATTTGATTCAAGTATGATGCCACTTCATTACTGTTTTCTATTGTTATTCAACTAATGTATTCTGTGTTATTCTTAGGCACTTCAATATGGTGTTATTTATATTGTATTTTGTTCAGGTCGTGGATGTTTTTCAGGGGAGGATATACCTTTACTAAATATTTTATTGTAAATCATTTTGAAAAGTGCAGTTTATTATGTTTTTGTAACTTATTTTTAATATTTATGGCCGAGTATAAGGTTTAATGTGGGACCATTGAAGACGTTGTCCGCGTGAATGTAACCAGGCTATTTCATATTTTGAATTTCATATTGATCAATCCCCATTTGTTTCCTTGTTCATTTTAACAGGTCCTTTTAATCCTCTTGCATCAACTACTTTTACATCCAGTATTTCAGATATTTATAACCATGTTGTTTGCAAGTCACTTTTGTATATATGTTCCATTGTTTAAACCAGTTTTGTATGTTGTTTCATGCTGTGTTTGTTTTTACTTTTCATTCATGTCTTCATGTTATATATATAGATCACATTCACTCACTCATGAGTTTGGGTGTTGCCCAGTAAGTCAGTTAGTTAGTCAATTGTTGCAGAGATACATGTATCAGATTTTGAAATAGACTTTTTTAGACATTTTAAATCATAGTTTCTGTTGTATTTTATTCGCCACCCACGGCCTTCCATCGCCCATTTACATTAGGATCAAATAATGTAGAATAACAAAAATATCTATAGCAAGCCCCCAATAAAACAAATTTCGAAAGCATAAGATGCAATGGATTAATCTGGTGTTCTACTGCACTGTAGTTCAACCAAGGTTATTTTGTAATAAACACTGAATAAGAAATGAAATATAACTATAAACTACCTGCATTTCAATTTATTAGAAATCCATTTTCAATATCCCAGATGCGAGTAGAAATAATCTTGATTTACGTCATTAAAATTCACAATTCAGTCAAACTGATGTCATATTTGGAATCTACATGTAAAATTACATTTATAAATGTGGTTTTGAAAAGAGTTTATCAACTTTGAAAATTTAATTTTCTTTGAAAATGTGACTTCTAGGTCGGGGAGATTCCCCATAGAGCCCATGTTGTAAAACCACAAAAAGTGAAATATCTTTTCTTGTGTTGGGCAGATAATGTTTTCTTTTACTGGACATATTTTAATTTGTATAACTATCAGATATATAAAGGTAATATGAAAAGTGAACCATTAAAACTGATGCATATTCAAGTTTAAGGGAATTTTGTAATACCCTGCCATGTTAATTCCCCCGAATCAGCCACCTGGTGGCGAAACTGGTAACTATCTACTCGCATCTGAGTAATTGACAGTAGTACATATATATTTCATATATGAGGTGAATGCTTTTCATTCTGAAAGAAATTAGTCCATTGAGTAAAAGAAAGGCCATTTTTTGCCTAATGTATTTGCCTTTATATTTCAGTGAGCTGGTGAGCCGAAATTCAGAAGTATCCTCAACTGATACAGTAAGAAGGACTAGACATAAATCGAATGCTGCACAGACAGAACTGAAACGGGTTGTCAATAATCTATTCTACTTCGAATTGGTTGTTAGAACGACAGACAGTGATAACACAGGGTCCCTAACTTACAAAAAATCATTGAGGATAAGATGATGTCCTGTTGCGCATGGAGTCGGCGTAAAAAATCCGATAACGTTGATACTGGTAACTGTGATTTGCTTTACGAAAAGGACCATGGATATGCATGGATGATTGCCTTATTCAGCTTCTCCGTCCATATATTTACATATGGCATAAGTTGGAGTGTTGGCGTGTTCTTCGTATTGTTTTTAAATGCATTTCACACGGCAAAAGGAGTCACTGCATGGCCAGGGTCCTTAAACACAGCAACGATGTATCTCGTAGGTAGGTACATTTAAAATCAAGAGCACTGACCAGACCTGGTATGCTTTCTCGATGTGTCACTTTGCATTCCACTTCATCACACGTTCTTGTGAAGTGAATGTAAAGATGGCCGAAATAGGAAGCACATGTTTGTAGTTTATTTTATCTTTCAAAATCTATGTCTCTCAGTTTGTCTTTGTGTCTCTGTTTCACACTACCGTGACCCCTATACTGTACCCTGTATTTCTTTAAAGGAATACATGCTACAGTGAAGTTGCATGGAACGAGTATTCTCTATCTTTGTCTATTTGGCTTTCTGGTAATAATACAAACTGATGAATCCATACAATGTATAGTAGAACACTTGAAATATATGTAAAATCTAGTATTCCTTCAGAAATATGGAATTAAAAAATGTCCTCCATTTGCAACTTCACCGTAGCCTGTATTACTTTTAAAGAAATGCAGGCTACAGTATCATATGTTTTAAGGTAGTGTTCTGGGCTACTAGTGTGTATTTTACTAGTTCAACCTATCATTTATAATGACAACGCTTACTATGGTAACAGGAATAGAAACACTAAAAATATTGAAAAACAAATAGTCCATGGACCATTTTTTTGAAATTGCCTAGAAATGTATACAAAACTTTACAGGCAATCAAAATCTAGATTCAGACGAATGTCACACAAAGTTCAACTTAAAACAGGGATCATTTACAACCAAGACCGATCATTTTGTGTATTCTGTTTATGTTACGCTATTTTAGGATTTTAAAGTTGTACTATTTATTATCTTGTTTTTAGCACAAATAGCATCCCTTTAGTTATGTTGACTACAAAGCTTGTGATATTTCCCCACACAACACGATTTATTAAGATAAGACTGTCAACCTCTGATATGTTGTTATTTTTGCGCACTTTTTGAGGTCACCTGACCATGAAGTACGGTGGGCCAAGTTATTGTGACGCTAAATCGAAAAGTTGTTGTCGCGAACTACTACTAATTAAGGCTGAACCAAAGTGAAAAGAAACATTAGTTTCACATTTGCACGCATTCCAATAGCCAAATAAATATTTTTAATTGATTGAACTTCACAAAAAGAAATTCTTGAGGAAAGAGCACTGCAATATTATTCATTACATATTCACTCTACTATATATACCTTGCATTTTGTGTTAATGAGCAATCCATTTGGCTCATTAGCAATGATTATATTATTTGTTTTTTTATGTGTCCTTTCCTTATGAATGGTTTATCGGATGACTGTTAGATGTTAATACGGTACTTTCAAAAATAAACTTAACAATACAGTTAGACAAACAGAGTATCTTACTGTATGCATTTCTAGTTGCTAGGTATGGTAGAGTGATATTCAAGGAATTCATTGAAACGCACTTGTGAAACCGTATATCGATAACTGAAAATGTTAACCCAATAATTATAATTTGGCCTTACAGCATTACATTCGGGTTGTTTTAAATAGCGTTTCAGCTCGACTGATTGCGCACTCCGCACCGCAAGTGATATTATACCCTTTTCAAAATTGATGAGAATAGCCTCAATCATGCAATAATTGGCTCATCATAAGAGTGAATAACTCGATTTTGAAAGCCAGGGTTTCATTTTAATCTACAAAATCGTATTTTGCGGCAAATTGTTTCAACCAACACGTCATGTCACGTGACGTAAAATTTCTGCTCTGAAAAATGCATTTTTTGCCGCGAAAACAGACACGTGCTGACTTTATATCCTCGATATCATAAAATGAATTTTTGGATGATGATTCACCATCGTAAAGTGTGGCTTTCACACAGGAAGCATTAATATCTCTAAATCGAGTAAAATGGTTTGAGTACAACTTTAAGATTGGCCTATTGGGTCCATTGGCTGTGCACACTTAATGTAAGGTGAATAAGAATATTAAAATATCTTCTGCATCCGATGCAACGGTCTACTACATTATAAACATAAACAATACTCTGCTCCTTTTAAGGACCAATAAGCAGTATGTTGACGAACAAATTTGGCTGCAGACCCACGGTTATCTTGGGTGGCGTTATATCAGCTATTGGTCTTGGAACAAGTGCGTTTGCCACTAACATATACCACCTGTATATCACGTTTGGTATAGTTACAGGTAAGTGCTAAACATAAACCTGGAAAAGCATGGTACATAATTGGCATGAACAGCTGTTAATATTGGTATACGAAGCATTTTAAGGGAAAGGGAAGTCTCAAGCATAAAGATGAAATGAAATAACGGAATTCTTCTCGTTACAACGCTGAATCAAAATAGTGTTTTTGTAATTTTGAATGGGGAAAGACATATGAAAAAGGCTTCGCTGTGAAAATGAGTTATTTTTCCATACAATGGATTTAAAGAAGTGAACGGTTTTTAACATACCTTTTGATCTCGATTGACATTTTTAATTTTGATCTTCGACCTTTACCGCCAAACCATTTTTCAGTGAGCACCTTTGGATCACACCTTGGCATTCATCCTAGCTCATGAATGTAGAAGGTATTATAAAATTATGACTAAGTTAAATAAAGCTGACACTCTCAACTTTCAAATGGTGTATTGGAACCTTTAGTAAAATTGTTTTTATTATTTTGAGTTCTCGTTTGTTCAATTACGGGGTATTGTATTTGCCAGGTCAATCTTCATGAATTGTCGTGACGTTGTTGCTATATTTGATCGTGTTCTTGCAGGGGTTGGATTTGGCATTGCCTATTTGCCTGGGATTGTTATTGTTAGCCAATACTTCGAAAAGAAAAGAACACTTGCAATAGGGGTGGCTGCATCTGGTATAGGATTTGGATCATTCATATATCCCCCGATGATAGATGCGTTGAACAATCAATATGGTTGGAGAGGAGCTTTACTTATGCTTTCAGGGATAACACTAAATATATGCGTTGCAGGAGCATTTATGAGGCCATTCAAAAGTAAGCTAGATGAAAATAAAGTGAAAGTTGAAGAGAGAATATTCAATGTGGCGATATTTCGATCTTTGAATTATCTTATTCTTTGTCTAAATAATTTTTTATTTTGTTTGGGATTATCTGCCGTCTACACCCATTTGGCAGAATACTCAATAGACATTGGGATGGGAGCACGGGAAAGCACCATGCTCTTTTCAGTGATGGGTATCTCAAACCTGATTGGACGATTTGCGTATGGATTTATTGGAAATCATCCTTTGACCAATGATATACTCGGTTACTCATGTTCATTTTTTATATGTGGTGTAGTTACATTATTGGTACCATTCCTCACGCATTATGGAACGCTATTAGCGTACTCTGCCATATTTGGTTTCTGTTCAGCAGCATTTGGGATTCTTCTACCGGGAATTATATGTCAGTTTCTTGGATCTGAAGAGTTGGCTACAGGGTATGGTGTCCTGATGACATTTGAAGCAGTTGGAACAATGCTCGGAGGCCCAGCTGCTGGATTCATGTATGACATGCTACTTTCATACAATACCTCCTTTTTCGTTGGAGGAGGAATCATAGTCATTAGCTCACTCTGTATGATAGTTCCGTATTTGCGTGAAAAACGACATGGCATAAACACGTTAGAAGTAGTTAGTAACGAAAATGAAAATATGTTGATGGAGAAAGGATCAAATAACGCAAGCACTTGATACATCAAGAAAATTCGATGGACAAAAAATGAGTTCTATTACGTTTACATATGCAAGAAACAAGTTTAAATGAAATTAACATTATTTAAAGCGTCATGGAACATAAAGATTAGAGAAACATCAATTTTGTACCAATAATGTAATTTTTGGGTCTATGATGTAGGGAAACTTGCTTCCCAGTTAACCCAATTAAAGCTACTTTCTTTAGAAATACCTTGTAGACAACCGAGTGCAAATCAAAAGTAAAAGTAAATAGTCTTTCCATTCAATAATATTCTCCTGAGAGTTTTTTCCGTTATTCCGTAACTTTTGAAAGTAAAATTCCAAAATATTTTGAGTTAATTTTTGAAATTTTAGATAATTTCTAAAACAATTTCAGAAATCAGAAATTGATTTTATTTGATATAGGCCTATGGGCTTGAATTTGTGTTTGTCTCACTCTTGTAGAAACAGTAGAAACCTTCTTAGAATTCCATGTTTCACTGTACATGTATTTTCATTGCTTCCTATGAACAAGCCTTCATGGAGGCAAAGCGCTGCCTAGTTATATCTGTTTAAAATGACAAGTGATTTTATAAAATATGTTCGTTGGGATTTGCCACTCAGGGGAATTGCTGTCTTTCTACTTGTTTAATTACTCTGCCAAATTATGATTCTGGTAGTCTAGAGAAACGTAACTGATTTAGAATAAAATATATAGTAATATTATATGTATTATTTTGATATTAATAAATATGGAAATAAGGAAACTCAACCGAGTATAAACTATTGTTATTTTGATTGTCTAATATTTTAAACCAAACACCTTTAAGATATGAACAGTGGTTGTGTTAGTTACGTAAACACGAATGCAATGTTATTTGCGTATAGTTAGTTGCGTATCTGACATGCATTAAAATTATATGGAGTTCACGATAATGGACCGCATGGTACCAAGAACTGGACTGGTATGGTGTAACTGTTATTCCTATACTATAATTTATTTATTTTCCATTCGAAAAAATGTTGAGTGTAACTAAATGGCTCTTTTAAAACAGTTTATAACATCGGAGAAAGGAGAAAGTAATATAACTTGCCTGATCTATTCAATGGAATAGAGAGAATAATGTGCTATTAGAATAAAGTGTCGTATTTGATGATCGAAAATTCTAAATTTAACCACGCGAAAGTGGAGGAGAAAACAACTACTGGAGAGATATAAGAACATTAGGATTGAATCTTTTTGGATCTAAAGTACAAAACTGCCATGTCACTTGCGAACATTTGGTCTGTAGGGATCAAAGCGATCTATCTAGAGTCCATTTCACTGCTTCATTTCGTCAGTAGAACGGCAAAAATAAGAAATTGGGAGACCATTGTGCAATAATATATGGAAACGTATTTGTTTGCCTAATATTGTAAGACCTCTGGCTATGCCTGGGTCACATTTGCTGCTTTTCATCGGCCGGCGCCTGGCCGATTGAGTATTTTATTCAAAATTGAATACATTTCTGAACAAAATACTCAATCGGCCGGGCGCCGTAGTGAAAATCTGAGCAAATGTGACCAAGCCATTAACAAAGTAATCCAGTCCTGAGCTGATTAAGTATAAATCCCCACATTTTGGCACTATGTGATTGCATTTCTGTTATATTCCCAGCTGATATTACATTGCTGACAGCTTTGAAGATATAAGTAACTGTATAGGACTCAGCTGTAAGTTGCTCTAGAGTCCATTTCACTGCTTCATTTCGTCAGTAGAACGGCAAAAATAAGAAATTGGGAGACCATTGTGCAATAATATATGGAAAAGTATATTCATAATGTACATGAATGACATTTGTATATTTCAGATTTTTTAGTTTTTTTGTGCAATAAGCCTGTGCCGTCTTGTAATTTGAAGAATTTCAGCCATGTTAATCTTATTGAAAATAACATGGCAGAGAAACATCCAAATATAAGAGGCCACACACTTTATAAGCCAAACTAGAAGCAATCCAAGATATACAAATGTCATTCATGTGCATTATGAATAAGCAACTTCTTGACAACATACCTGGCTTCAAGCCTGGGCTTAGAGTATATATTCTCAACATACCCATCTCTGCTGGAGATCACATAATAACCGGATGGTCTTGTTTCAAAGACTTTCATATTCGCGGATGACACCTCACTCCATAATCCTTTTGATGTAAATGAAATATTTCTCGATATTCATGAACCCATTCAAAGTGATTTGGACCACTTAGACCAATGGGCCGCAACTTGGAAAATGTTATTCAAAGCACAGAAAAGCGCTGATTTGATATTCACTGGACATAGAAACATTAATATTGAACCTCCTCCTCTGAAAATGAACGGGGAAATAGTCGTAGTTTTAATTGTTTAACTCTACTATTTGGTCACTCACATTGCTGGATAATGCTAGAAATTTAACATTTCGCCTTAAGCCACTGCCCCATTAGCGGGCTCACAAGCAACATCCCCTCCCAACTACAGTAGCTGCACCAGACTCTCTCTGAAGTATATAACAGTTCTTGGAGGTGACATGTACTGACGTGTCGCAAAAAGGTCGCGCACGCATTGTTACACATTTTCGCTTTTTAACACCACAGAATGTGACGTTTTTTGAGAAAAATGTACACATATGGAAATCCTTTCGTCCTCCATATTTGCCTCTATATCTCAAAATGTTTAGTCGAATAACTCTGATATCGTACATGTATTAACAATGGGATAGGAGCATATATAAAACACGAATCAATTGATATTTTAGGTGAAATAAATATACGTGTTGCTGTGCTTGAAAATAGGCGAATGGCGTAAATTAGCCCTATTTTAATGAATTTTGAAAACCTTTCGTCCTCCACTTTTCCACATACAACAGAAAACACATACTTTTGCGAACAAAACTATTTATTAATAAAATAGAGTTTAGGAGCAAAATAATCATGTATAATTTATTTAAAATCGGTGTCGTATTTTTTTTATTTAATGTACACCTGAAAAGCTGAAGGTAACAAAAAATGAGCAAAAAAGGTCGCTGTCAACAGATTCTATTTTTCAAACTCTATGACGTCACAATATGGGACGCTTACTAAAATTCATCCTTTGAAATAAAACGTCCATCTACCTTAATCAAGACGAAAAATAAGTTTAATAGTCATATATTGTTTGAGTTATGAGCGTTTAAAGACGAAAAATAATTCAAAATGTAACGTGTCAACAGGGGATATTTGCCACATGTTTTGGTAAAAAACTCTTTTTAAGAAAGAACGCGCAAGAATCGTGAACGGAGTGTAGTTGATCTAAAAACTTCATCGAAACAGCTTTAAAATGATATATAACTTTATTTAGAATATTATCTTATAATCCGGGTAATCAAAGTTACATTCACGCGATACCCTTAAAAAACAAATGCGCCACCTTTTTGCGACACGTCACTGGTATATGCCATGGTAAGAGCCATCGCATATGGATAATCGCATGGTTTTCATTCTATAATTAGGATGTTAATTTTATCATAAATTGTAGCATACGGTTTCGTAGCCCTTTACGTTAATCTTAAACGCTCTATGCAATACGCATTACTCATATGTATACGCTAATCTTAATCTCCCTAATATCCTCCCGTGCCGCTGAAATAAGGTTATTTGTATATTGTCATATTTTTAAATACTGTTTTAATGGTGTTTAGCAAATATATATATATAATAAATATAGTTAGTATCAGACTCATTGTGGCCCAGAATAAACGTATTTGGAGGAATGATTCAGTTAAGGTTAATTTGTGTAGTAATACAGTTGGAAAAATTGATTCCATGCTATACCCTTGGCATACTATAGGAGCCATAGTCTCATTTTATCTAATACTGATCATCGCCTTCAATACAATTACAATCAATTCTTACTCAGCCAAGCCAGAGACATACTACATTATGATTATGACATGTTATAATAGTCTCTGGCCTAGCAATAAATAACACCCAATAACATGTTGACACACGTCATGTTTTGGTCACGGTCATTGCAACTTGGTTTAAAAACGTGCGCATACTAAAGCTGAACAATCTTTCTAAATTCAATTCAACTATTTCAATTAATGGATATCCATACAAGACATTAAGATTGGGAAAGTCAATTGATAATATTCATAAGCTGAATATATAGATAGTGATGAACTGGATCTAATGTCAGCGCAACTTTTTCATTTTGAATGATTGTTCGAGTAAGAACATTAGGAATGTCATACGGCTACCACGCGTAATCAATTCTAAGGACTACACTTTTTAAAGGCTTACGGTTTTCTGTCACCATAGATTCGAAGTACGCCCTGTATCAAATGTGACTGCCAAATTATGGGACCGTACACATACTACGGCGGTCGTAGATTGCTATTTGCGCCTAAAGGGCGTCCCTACGGCGGTCATAGGGTTTTAACAAATACAAGGCAGACAAGGTGCTAAGCGACCGCAAGGCGACCTTACGTTGACCGTGTAGCTTGCATGGAATTGTGACTGACCTTTGATTGACCTTTGATATTAAAACATACTGTATCGGGATCTAATAATGTAGAATACCAAAAATATCTATGGCAAGCCCCCAATAAAAACAAATTTCGATAGCATCGGATGCAATGGATTAATCTGAATTTATAAATGGTGTTCTACTGTAATGTAGTTTAACCAAGGTTATTTTGTATTAAACACTGAATAAGAAATGAAATATAATTATAAACCACCTGTATTATCAATTTATTAGAAATCCATTTTCAATTGACAGGAGTACATATATATTTCATATATGAGGTGAATGCTTTTCATTCTGAAAGAAATTAGTCCATTGAGTAAAAGAAAGGCCATTTTTTGCCTAATGTATTTGCCTTTATATTTCAGTGAGCTGGTGAGCCGAAATTCAGAAGTATCCTCAACTGATACAGTAAGAAGGACTAGACATAAATCGAATGCTGCACAGACAGAACTGAAACGGGTTGTCAATAATCTATTCTACTTCGAATTGGTTGTTAAAACGACAGACAGTGATAACACAGAGTGTTCCTAACTTACAAAAATCATTGAGGATAAGATGATATCCTGTTGCGCATGGAGTCGGCGTAAAAAATCCGATAACTTTGGTAACTGTGATTCGTTTTACGAAAAGGACCATGGATATGCATGGATGATTGTCTTATTCAGCTTCTCCGTCCATATATTTATATATGGCATAAGTTGGAGTGTTGGCGTGTTCTTCGTATTGTTTTTAAATGCATTTCACACGGTAAAAGGAGTCACTGCATGGCCAGGGTCCTTAAACACAGCAACGATGTATCTCGTAGGTAAGTACATTTAAAATCAAGAGCACTGACCAGACCTGGTTATACTTTCTCGATGTGCCACTTTCACTTATTGCATTTCACACGTTCTTGTGAAGTGAATGTAAAAATTGCCGAAATAGGAAGCACATGTTTTTAGTATATTTTATTTTTCAAAATCGATGTCTCTCAGTTTGAATTTTTGTCTCTGTTTCACACTACCGTGATCCCTATACTGTACCCTGTATTTCTTTAAAGGAATACAGGTTACAGTGAAGTTGCATGGAACGGGTATTCTCTACCTTTGTCTATTTGTCTTTCTGGTGATACAAACTGATGAATCCATACAATGTATAGGCGAACACTTGACATATATATATGTAAAATCTAGTATTCCTTCAGAAATATGGAATTAAACAAATGTCCTCCATTTGCAACTTCACCGTTGCCTGTATTACTTTTAAAGAAATGCAGGCTACAGTATCATATGTTTTAGGGTAGTGTCCCAGGCACTAGTGTGTATTTTACTAGTTCAACCCATCATTTATAATGACAACGCTCACAATGGTAACAGGAATAGAAACACTAAACATATTGAAAAACAAATAGTCCATGACCATTTTTTCAAATTGTATACAAAACTTTACAAGCAATCAAACTCTAGATTCAGATGAATGTCACACAAACTTCTACTTAAAACAGGGATCATTCACAACCAAGACCGATCATTTTGTGTATTTTGTTTATGTTACGCTATTCTAAGATTTTAAGGTTGTACTAAACCAATTAAAGCTGAATATCTTATTATCCTGTTTTGAGCACAAATAGCATCCCTTTTGTTATGTTGACTACAAAGCTTGTGATATTTCCCCACACGACACGATTTATTAAGATAAGACTGTCAACCTCTGAAAAGTTGTTTTTGCGCACTTTTTGAGGTCACATGACCATGACGTACCGTGTGCCAAGTTATTCTGGCGCTAAATCGAAAAGTTGTTGTTGCAAACTACTACTGAGGCTGAACCAAAGTGGAAATAAACATTAGTTTCACATTTGCATGGTTATCGGATGGCTGTTAGATGTGTACTTTCAAAAATATACTAAACAATACAATTAGACAAACAGTGTCTCTTACTGTATGCATTTCTAGTTGTTATGTATGGTAGAGTGTGATATTCAAGGAATTGATTGAAATGCATTTGTGAAACCGTATATCGATAACTGAAAATGTTAACCCAATAATTATATTTTGCCCTTACAGCATTACATTCGGGTTGAAAAGTTTTAAATAGCGTTTCAGCTCGACTGATTCCGCACTCAATTTCAAGTGATATTATACCCTTTTCAAAATTAATGAGAATAGCCTCAATTATGCAATAATTGGCTAAACATAAGAGTGAATTACTCGATTTTGAAAGCCAGGGTTTCATTTTAATCTACAAAATAGTATTTCGCGGCAAATTGTTTCAACCACACACGTCATGTCACGTGACGTAAGATTTCTGCTCTGAAAAATGCATTTTTGGAATTGTTGATGGTTCACCATCGTAAAGTTTGGCTTTCACAGTAAGCATTTATATCTCTAAATCGAGTAAAATGGTTTGAATACAATTGGGTCTATTGGCTGTGCACACTTAATGAGGCGTATAGCCTTTTTATTTTTTCCTGAAGCCACTCAGTAAAATTACGATTTCTCTGCAACCTGATGTCCAATCAAGATCATTCAAGTATCTATGTGTTCCTGACGCATTTGGGCGTCCGGGAATAACAACGTCTACACAATTAAGGTTTGCACGCAAAATTGACGTAATTTATGACTGAAATCGGGAAGACAAAACTTGAGATTCACAAATCAAATTGTTTGTGAAAACTATCTACAAAAGTGTTACAGAGACTCTCATCTACTTGGCTTAATAAGCAGGTAGAGGGCGTGCAAATGCTATGTTCACGCCTTACCATCGCGTAAGCAGGCGTCACCGTACAGCGTCAAAAAATAGCGGAGTACAGTTTTCTGTACGGTAACGCAAATTAACTGCTTTGAAGCAAAAACTATGACAAGGGTTTAAAAAAATTTATTTGATGAAAACTAATACGATTTCATGTGAAATAAAAACAGCATTCCCTTAGAAATAGTTTTAACTTTCTGATTATGATAAACGTTTTACGAGCACTGTTCGGATTTTTTCTGAGTGAATCGGCCCACATAATCGACCAGAGTGAAAAAAGGTTGTTTTTTCACATTTTGTTTGATTATTTTCCCTACCGTCTGAGAGTATGGATTATTTTTATGAGAATATGTATTTGTTACTTACACATTTTAGAACGGGCGAAGATTCAGCCAACAACCATTCATTATGTATATTTAAAAAAGATCAAATTTGTACGGTGACGCACCAGCTGTACGGTGCTGCTATGCTTTGATGAACTAAATTGACTAAGATTGTATGAAATGGAAACTCTGGAGTATGATCATTTGTTCATATATAGTGCATGGGCGCTACAGTTCAACGATATCTTCCACAGCTTAATGGAAGGTTACTGGAAATGTATGATACGGTAAAGATCATGAAACCAAAAACTCTCTTGTTGCATTGTTATTGATGTTTTAAAACAAGGGATGTCACAAGTAAATCTCATCTTGCACGTGTGACTTTTTAGGATGAAAGATGCAATATCTTGCATGGGGTAAAGATGGCTGTGTAGGCTATCTTTGTTAGTCATTGTTACGCGGTATATGGCATACATTCATGGTTGCGCGGTATTTGTGATACGGGTGAATATGCCATACTCACCTGCGGTATATGGCATATTCCGCAGGTGAGTATGCGATATTCCGCAGTGAATATGCGATACATTGATTTCAGTGAATACCCGATACTCACCTGCGGAATATGTCATACTCACTTGCGGAATATGCCATATACCGCAGGTGAATATGACATATACCGCAGGTGAAAACGTGATACAGAAAGCCTTGATTTGATTGGTTGCGAGAATCGACTCTAAATGTAAAACTACGCTGTATTACCATTATAGTTAGTGCGTCGAGTACTAATATATGAATCCTGGATTGATTGAGTAAGTTTATTACGCGAGATTGGTGACTGATACTTCTGCTAAGGTAATATATTCGATACACAGTACTGTTGATTCAGTTGACAATTGACAATTGCGTACTTCCGTATCACGTTCTCATTGGTTAGTTTGTATGCCATATACCGCAGGTGAATCTGTCATACACCGCAAGTGAATATGCCATATTCGTTGCGGAACATGACATATTTTTGTATCGTGTTTACCGCGTAACAGTCATATGAGAAAAGCCTGGTTTAGTTCAAATGATACCAAATCATTACGTCAACTTTCAAATAGTTAATTCCATGAAAACTAAAAATATCGAAATTAATATTTCCTGTCCGCCATCTTAAATGCGAAGGTGACGGCTGTAACCTTCGCTTGATACTTACCAGTGATAATGTACATGTAGATATGACGCTTCTTTACCTCTTGTTCGAACAGTAAGCTTAGAGCACTTCATAAAATCTAAGGAAGCGTCACCGTACAGCTGATGCGTCACCGTACAGTTCTGATCTTTTTTAAATAAATACACTGAATGATTATTTGCCGAATATTCATCTGTTCTAAAATGTGTAGATAACAAATACATATTCTCATAAAAATAATCCATACTCTCAGACGACAGGGAAAATAATAACCAAACGAACAGTGAAAAAAACACCATTTTTCTCTCGAGTCGATTATGTGGGCCGATCCAGTCAGAAAAAATCCGAGCAGTGCTCGAAAAACTTTGATCATAATTAGAAAGTTAAAACCATTCCTAAGAGAATGCTGTACTACTGTATTTTTTGACGCTGTACGGTGACGCCTGCTTACGCGATGGTTAGGCGTGATTGTTGAAAATTTTCTATATTTCAGTTTGAACATGTTATTACATGTCACGTAGGCCAGTGTTTTATATGGGAATTATATGTACTTTACTTGTTTACATGAACGTAAAATCATTACATGAAATATGCAGTCTTCCGGGTTTTATCTCGGTTTGTCTTATTTGGGCTTTTCGCCTTTAAAACAAACTTTACCTAAAATGATTTGTGTCTCGGGAACATTTTTTGTAAATAGTTATTATGAACAGTTCTGAAAGAATATCACATATTTTTGTCTTCCCGATTTCAGTCATAAATTACGTAAATTTCGCGTGCAAACATTGGGTAGACGTTGTCATTACCGGATGCCTAGACGTGTCAGGAACACATAGATGCTTGAATGATCTTGATTGGCATATGGTAAAAAATAAGCAGCACTTTAGGCCACCTTAATGTAAGGCGAATACTAAAAATATCTTCCGCATCCGATGCAACTGTCTACTACATTATAAACATAAACAATACTCTGCTCCTTTTAAGGACCAATAAGCAGTATGTTGACGAACAAATTAGGCTGCAGACCCACGGTTATCTTGGGTGGCGTTATATCAGCTATTGGCCTTGGAACAAGCGCGTTTGCCAATAACATATACCACCTGTATACCACATTTGGTATAGTTACAGGTAAGTGCTAAACATAAACCTGGAAAAACATGGTACATAATTGGCGTAACAGTGCGCATTACCCACCTGGTCCACACACTTGTTTATTTATATTCTTATTATTTTAATATGAATCATAACTTTTAAACTTTGTTTTAACAATTCTGCACAGAAAATGACTAGTTCGAAATTCCCGGGAAAATAAAACCAGATGAATGCGATTGATTCCGTACACATGTCCATGCATTTTTCCAATTACCACGATTTTTATATATGTCAGTCATTACGATTACAAGTATTCTTCTCATTTTTCATTTCTCTTGGAACATATATGGAATAGGTAGAGGTTAATTACTAGGTGGGATTGGAATTGGGGTTTATACAGGGGGCAAGTATGTTATATCGTATAAAAACGATTCCCGAATGGGCTTCTCAGTTATATCATGATATTGCGTGATTCAAATAGTGTAGCCATTATTAAATATCAATAACGGGGCCATAGTATTTGCATGAATTGTCGTGAAGTCGTTGCTATATTTGATCGTGTTCTTGCAGGGGTTGGATTTGGCATTGCCTATTTGCCTGGGATTGTTATTGTTAGCCAATACTTCGAAAAGAAAAGAACACTTGCAATAGGGGTGGCTGCATCTGGTATAGGATTTGGATCATTCATATATCCCCCGATGATAGATGCATTAAACAATCAATATGGTTGGAGAGGAGCTTTACTTATGCTTTCAGGGATAACACTAAATATATGCGTTGCAGGAGCATTTATGAGGCCATTTAAAAGTAAAATAGATGAAAATAAAGTGAACGTTGAACAGAAAATATTCAATGTGGCGATATTTCGATCTTTGAATTATCTTATTCTTTGTCTGAATAATTTTTTTATTTTGTTTGGGATTATCTGCCGTCTACACCCATT